ATGTACAGTGTACACCCTTTTAATTTGTAGAATTTAAACTGTAGTTTGTGGTAATAAACAAATAGCAAGGAAGTTTCATCATTTCATATTGAACTCAGATGCACACTTACATATTTTATTCTCTTGGTATGTTACAGAAAATTTGATAAACGCCAAATCAAATACTGACAAAAGCGTATACAGAAATAAATCTAGGGGGGGGGGCAAAATGCGCCAATTTGTTTTTGCCCCCCCCCTAAGAGCTTCTAGGGGGGGGGGCAAAATTTGAACCGTAATTTCAAAACATTTGGCTTCCTGGATACTTTAAAGGTACACATACACTATACAGTCCAATTACCATACAAGGACTACTTTATCTCTCCATCAAACAAAACTAGCAGAAAAAACAGCAAATTAATGTTTTTAATACTCTTTTAAGATTTTAAAAGTGTGATAGCTCTGAGTTCTAGGTGGGTCTACCCCCCCCCCCTGAATACGCCCTTGAATACTGAACTTCAATATGAAATTTAGAGTTAACTATATAAGGTCACAAACTAACTTAAATCAAAAAACTTTCCATGAAAAAGCCTTTAAGAATTTTAAAATATGATCTGTGCCTCTTTAAATGATAAATTTAATTCATATCCTCACTTAATTGCGTAAGCTTATCTGTTTATAGAGACCATCTCTCCTCTTCCTCTTATCTCCGCCCCCCTTTCCACTAAACCTCCTACCCCTCCTCCAGGAATATTTGAAAGAAGTGAAATCTTAGGACACACAATGCAATAAATTGCTTAACAAATTCTACATTTCCAAACTTGTATTTGTATCTTTATACTCTATACGCTCCCCCCGCTCCCCCTTCCATCCCTCCCCCTTCCATCACATCTCGACTCATATGTCCATCATCCTGTGTCAGAACTAAGCCTGAAGCAATCCGTTTCCAAATCACACATTTGTTATTCTCATCTGTCATTGGATAGACGGTGGTCACGTGATGATACATAACTAGAAAATAGAAATGGGCATTGTAGTTTTATATAACGAAGTGTTTAAATTAGCTTTTGAGTAATTTAAAAAAGTAATAGATAGAATTTTTCAAAAGCAAATTCTCAATTGTATTTATTCAAATTATTGCTATAACAATTACCCTCGTTGACGTCAAAGTTACTATGATGTGTTGTTTATATCAGCATTGCAAGGTTTAAGTGTTGAATTAATCAAAAGATTCAAAAAAAAAATTTGGTTATTTTTTGCAACTACAGTCATAACCATAAAACTGTAGAATAGGAAGACGACATTATAGCATTCCTGAAGTGTATTTGATGTTGTTTAAAGCAAATAGCTTTATACTTGAAAGTTATTAAATTACTTAATAAGTAAAATGGGCCTGTTTACTTTGCACATTTGGTGTGCCTCATGTTCAATGCGCTAATAAAAGTCAAAACTTGAGTTTAAAAGTCGATTTCCTATTCCAGAGTTTTCTGGTTATCACTGTAATATTTTGCAAGGATTATTTTATTCTCTTCCTCTGGATTATGTTATCTTTGGTATTCAAAATTAAGATTCAATGAACTTGCAGATTTATTGACGTACAAATATTTGATATTTGAACCTAAAAATGGCGTCAGCAATAATCTACTATATGATCACAAACTATTGGAAAGATAGCTTCTGAAATAGAAAACTTCTGGAAGGACAAATTGTTGAAGACTATACTAATGAAAGGACAAATTTCTGAAGACTAAACTACTGAAAGGACAAATTGCTGAAGACTAAACTAATGAAAGGACAAACTCCTGAACAAATTCTACAAAAACGGAAAATTCCTGATCAGGAAAAATTCCTAAAAGATAAACTCGGTGGATCCGCATTTGAACTATTGATCATTTGAACTATTGATCGTTTGAACTATTGTTCATTCTAACTACTGATAATGACGTCATTTCCTTTAGTTCAAACAACACATTATTCATTAATTTGAACTATTAAATATGCAGTTTAAAATTTTTATATTTCATAAAAAAATATAGGTCAAAAAATCACCACAAAATAGTTTATTTGATGAAAAAAATTTCACCATGGACATAAAAATAATTCAAAGGACCAAAAAAAATAGTTTAAATTAAATATTTCAAATGAAGCATATATAGCAGTTCAAATGAGCAAAAAAAAATGTCCACAATTTTCAACAATATATAGTATACATTTAGGATTAGGTTAGGTTAAGACACTTTCTTTGTCGAGCGCTGCAGCTAGGACAGGCTCGGGGTCCGAGCGCTGCAGCTAGGACAGGCTAGGGGTCCGAGCGCTGCAGCTAGGACAGGCTAGGGGACGGAGCGCTGCAGCTAGGACAGGCTAGGGGTCCGAGCGCTGCAGCTAGGACATGCTAGGGGTCCGAGCGCTGCGGCTAGGACAGGCTAGGGGGCCGCTGCGGCCACATGACCAACTTTATCCATGTGTTAAATATGAGATGCTCGAGTGCTGTTTCAACTATTTTTTGGCTCATAATTGAACTATTTTTGGCACATTTTAACTATTTTTTAGCTCATTTAAACTATTTTTTTGCTCATTTGAACTTTTTTTGGCACATTTAAACTATTTATTTGCTTGTATGAACTTTTTTTGCTCATTTGAACTATATTTTTGCCCAATTGAACTATTTTTTGGACAGCGGCCAAACTCCGTTACTTGCAAAAGCCGCAATGAATTATAAGACAGAGAGAGAGCCTGTCCTATCCGCAGTGCTCGGCTCCCTAGCCTGTCCTAGCCGCAGCACGCAGCTCAGAAAGTGTATTAACCTTAAATATACACTAATCTCTCTCTTCTTATAATTCATTGCAGCATTTGCGAGTAACGGAGTTTGGCTGCTCCCTATTTTTTTCTCATATGAAATATATTTTTTCTCATTTGAACTATTTTTGGCTCATTTGAACTATTTTTTTGTTTATTTGAAATATTTTTGGCTCATTTTGCACTATTTTTTTAATGGTTCAAATGAACAATACAACCTCGTTGGGATTAAACAGAGTACAGACAGATAAACAGATATGCAGAGATAAATACAGAAAACAGACAGATAATCAGATATACAGAGATAAATACAGAATACAGACAGATAAACAGATATACAGAGATAAATACAGAATACAGCTAGATAAACAGATATGCAGAGATAAATACAGAATACAGCTAGATAAACAGATATACAGAGATAAATACAGAATACAGACAGATAAACAGATATACAGAGATAAATACAGAAAACAGCTAGATAAACAGATATACAGAGATGAATACAGAATAAAGACAGATAAACAGATATACAGAGATAAATATAGAAAATAGCTAGATAATCAGATATGCAGAGATTAATATAGAAAANTAAATATGTGCAGGTATTAACAGACAGATGAACAGAAGGATGGGAATTAAATAAAGTGACAAACATAGTTCGTTTTTAAAACGCAAATATTTTGAGAATATAAAAACAAATAAGATTTTATTTTAAAAACTAGACAGAACAGCGGGTAGACATAATATGGAATAGATAGAAAGTTAGATAGAAACCCAACAACTTAATACATACGATCTTATGCCTACTTAGAGGCTTGCGAGAATTGGCTTTGTGTCCTCAGGCCTCGGCTTGGAAAGGAGGGGCAGCCTCCATGGGGCGGNATCCATTCTTTTATATACTCTAGTTTTCACGCAGTGGTGGTTATTTAAAGTCAAGTTAAGGAATCGACAATTTTTGTATTCCAATTCACTTTCATCTGACTAAGGTTCCCACAATATCCTCTACCTTGTTTCCCTGCAACCCGCATGTTTAATTGTCCACTGGTCAAATGCCACCTGACCCCCTACTTGGTCCACAAAGTGAATTCACTTTGCTACGTCCCACTAAAAGGCCTTCCCCCGTCCTGAACCAAATGTTCAAATGTACCCTGGTTTACAGAAATGCCTTCCACCTTCATAGACCACTGTGTACCTTCAAACCACCGCTACCCTTCCTGTACTAAATGATCAATGGTCCCTAGGGTTTAAAACAATCCCCACCATCATTTTTAGAACGCTGTGTATCTCCGCTAAAGGTCTTGAACCAATGGGCCTTCTCTTATAAACACTTTCAGTGTTCTCCATAACCTCTCTAAAACTATAAGCTCCTGTGCCACTGTGTCCCACTCCCCCCCCCCCCTCTTTCTAAACCCCCTAACTACTGGTCCCTTCTTCTGAACCCCAGTGTCCCTCTCTCAGAACAATTGTTTCCCCGCCCCCGGCCCAGGACCACTGAGTCCCTCCTCCTAAACCACAGTGCTTCCTCCCTGAACCACTGAGTCCTACTTTAAGAACAATTCTGTCCCGCCCCCAGAACCACAGAGGTCCTCCTCCTAAACCACCGTGCCTCCACCCTGAACCACTGTGTCCCTCTCTTTAAAAAAATTGTGTCCCACCCTCCTCCTAAACTACTTTGCCTACCCTTAACCACTGTGTCCCTCTCTAAAATCAATTGTGTCCCGCCCCCACAACCACTAAGTCCCTCCTCCTAAACCACTGTGCCCTCCCCCTGGACCACTGTGCCCTTCACTTGAACCACTGTGTCACCCTGCTAAAAACCCCCGAGGTCGAGGCAGTATATAAGTTCGGACCCAGCTGAGGATCTATACTAGACACATTCATAGCAGCAGTAGACCATAGATAGAGAGCTATAATACAGGGAGTAGTAGACCATAGACAGAGAGCTATAATATAGGGAGTAGAAGACCATATATATGGAGACATAATACAGGGACAAGTAGACCATATACAAGGAGCCAAAATATAGGGAGCAGTAGATCACAGATAGGTTGCCATAATACAGGGAGCAGTAGAACATAGATATGGAGCCATAATACAGGGAGCAGTAGAACATAGATAGGGAGCCATAATACAGGGAGCAGTAGAACATAGATAGGGAGCAATATATAATATATTAATATCTTGTTTTACAACGAGAGGAAAAGAAATGAATAAATCCGATAGATATTTTTCCAGATAAGAAGAATATTTGTGTTTGAGACTAAAGTAGAAGAACTAAAACCTGCTTCAAGATGATGATGCTAAAAATGATGAATCCAATGGGTTCAATGCCGGTAATTTGTCAAAAATTTCCTTTGTGACACTCTTCCCTGACTTGCTCATTTTTTGTTGTATATTTTATGGAGAACAAGTTCAAAGAGAGGACATATTACGCAGACAGAGAAATTTTTAAAAACAAAGTTTAGAAAATAAACTAATAAATTTATTAAAGGGACAGACCGGCTATGTAAGGTAGTTAAACTGAGTATGCAGTGCTGTGAACAAATTCTTTAGGATTCATTTGAGACATATAAAACTTTTCCACGATGTATAATTACTGAGTTTGAGCGTAAAGTCGACGTTCAAAATCATGAATTTGNTACATTGTACATTGTACAGCTAGCTATGACATAATTTTCTATGAAATGCTTTAATTTCCCCCCCTTTCTATCGTAATAAACATTTGATTTTTTTACCGAAACCTAATTCATAAACTTATAAAACATAAATATTTTTATGCACATTTTCAACACATTTTAGCTGAAAAATAATGACTAAAAAAATCATTTTCTTCTTTAAGGCCAAATAATCATAGTTTTCCTTAAATGTAAACATTGGGAAAACTTGTATTTGCGCATATAAATCATAGTTGCTTAAATTTAATGCATTGCTTGTGTTTAAGGTTTATATAATTTACGAATTAAAAACAAAAAAGCCGATTCACATAGAAGAATTTGATGCCAATACTCTTCATGTATAAAACATTAAAGCACGTATATCTCACATCAAAGTTTTACCCTCTTTTTCTTAAATCGTTTTAGCCATTCGATGTTGCTCTATTTACAGAAAACAATTCAAAATGAAGACGATATTAAAGCATATATATATATATATGTATGTTTGTATGTTCAGTTACTTTTCCTTCCTTTGATTAGATATATATAATCTAAGTGATAAATAATGTAATGAAGATTCATTGAAGAAGAAAAAAGAATAGATTTTTCTTTTATTTCATAATAATCCGATACTCATGTTCACAAAGGCGCAACTTTAGGTTTTGTAAAGAGGGGTGTTTCAAATTACCTTTTTTAGTTAACTTAAAATGTTATACAAGATCAGGATCCCATCCCCCCATTCCCCCTATCCAACTTTTTATTTATTCAGTTTTGTTAATTTCTATCTTTCTTTTTTCTCTGAATTTTCCAGAAAACTTATTATATTATTTTAGTACATTTATTAGTCGAGTTTGTTCAACTCTAAATTTAAAAATAAATGAGAAAAACTTAAGTTTTTTTATCTGAGATGAATATGGTAGGAAAAACGTATCCAGCTCAAACCCAAGCTAGATTAAGTTTTCTTTACTATTTGAAAGCAAGACGATGAAAAGAACTTTTTTTAAAAAGAAAAACTGAAATCTCTTTATTCATCAAACGTAAATCAATAAAATTAAAAGTTTTTAAAACCTAATTAGAATATTCAGATTGAAAAGTTTAAAGTTTGAAAAGAGATTTTAATTTATTTCTTGAAATACCATCACATTTACTAAAGGATTCCTAATTTTACGGGATTAAGGTATGAGGGTTAAACAGCATGGATACACGGAAACACAGAAATCGAAGCTGTCAATTAACAACTTCTCTTAACAACATGAATAAAAGTCGTCTTCATAGTATTGATATGAACGCCATTCACTGTTTACGTTACTTTGTAGTCTGTTCCGAAAGTGGGAGGAAGTGACGACAGCAACGGGATGACGAAAGAGGAACAGAAGGAACAAGAGCAAATGAGGTAAAAAATAATAAAGATGAGAATTTAAAACCTTCAATTCAGCGGAAACTGTTCTTTACAAATTAGATTGCAATTCTATTTGTCGGATTCTTTATTTTAGTTAAATTTATTTTAAATTTTTTTTTAAATTTTATATTTTGAAGAAAAGATATATATATTTAATATACCCTACACCCATGTATACCAATAATATATAACGAAATTTTGCAAAACTTATAAAAAACCATTTTGATATATTGTAATATATTGAAATTTCAATATATTGATTAGATATGAACTATGAAAGCATTGAACAACAAACTTTGGAAACAATTTAACCATACAACTACACACTTTATGCAACTATTCAACTATACTCTTTATGCAACTATACAACTATATATACAACTACACTCTATGCAACTATGCAACTATATATACGACTACACACTATACAACTATATATACGACTACACTCTTTATGCAACTATACAACTATATATACGACTACATTCTATGCAACTATGCAACTAAGCAAATATGCAACTATATATACAACTACACTTTATGCAACTATGCAACTATATATACGACTACACTCTATGCAACTATGCAACTATATATACGACTACACTCTTTATGCAACTATGCAACTATATATACGACTACACTCTATGCAACTATGCAACTATATATACGACTACACTCTTTATGCAACTATGCAACTATATATACGACTACACTCTATGCAACTATGCAACTATATATACGACTACACTCTTTATGCAACTATGCAACTATATATACGACTACACTCTATGCAACTATGCAACTATATATACGACTACACTCTTTATGCAACTATGCAACTATATATACAACTACACTCTATGCAACTATGCAACTATATATACGACTACACTCTATACAACTAACTATACGACTACACTCTTTATGCAACTATACAACTATATATACGACTACATTCTATGCAACTATGCAACTAAGCAAATATGCAACTATATATACAACTACACTTTATGCAACTATGCAACTATATATACGACTACACTCTTTATGCAACTATACAACTATATATACAACTACACTCTTTATGCAAATATGCAACTATATTTACGACTACACTCTTTATGCAACTATACAACTATATATACGACTACACTCTTTATGCAACTATGCAACTATATATACAACTACACTCTATGCAACTATGCAACTATATATACGACTACACTCTTTATGCAACTATGCAACTATATATACGACTACACTCTTTATGCAAATATGCAACTATATTTACGACTACACTCTTTATGCAACTATGCAACTATATATACAACTTCACTCTAGGCAACTATGCAACTATATATACGACTACACTCTTTATGCAACTATGCAACTATATATACGACTACACTCTATGCAACTATGCAACTATATATACGACTACACTCTTTATGCAACTATGCAACTATATATATGACTACACTCTATGCAACTATGCAACTATATACACGACTACACTCTTTATGCAACTATGCAACTATATATACGACTACACTCTATGCAACTATATACACGACTACACTCTTTATGCAACTATGCAACTATATATACGACTACACTCTAGGCAACTATGCAACTATATATACGACTACACTCTTTATGCAACTATGCAACTATATATACGACTATACTCTATGCAACTATGCAACTATATAATTTGTGGCTAAAACTTATTTTCTTTATTGAAATAATTTCACTTCAGCAGAGAAGGAGTGGGTACTCGGAACTGGTGGATTATTTTGTATTAAAGGGACTGTAAGCGTTATTTCAAGTGACCCTCAATGCAATGATTGAAATGACCAACACACAACGGTATCCTTGAGAGCTTTGTCTGATCAAATATGAATTAGATATCAATGTTTATAATTTTAAAAACTGTTTCTCTACAAAGGTGATTGGCGCATTTCTGCTACAGAAAAACATTTTATCAGAAATAAGCACTTTCAAACCTAGAAAACGACAATATCTTCCACATTATTGATCGGATAAAGGTTTCAAAGGTACCATTGTTAATCGGGCATTGTCATCTTTGCATGGAAGTTACGCGTACACTCCCTTTAACTCCGACATCTTTCTAACAAACTTTAATTAAGATTTGCTTTGATATAAACAATGCAGATATTTTACAACTTCCAGGAGCTAAATTGTTTGTTTCTCTCGCTTCCTTTTTTTTACAATTTTTTACAAAAATGTATAAAATTCAACAAATGTGCAGTGCATTTCTAAGTTCTTGAATCATTAAGTCATGACGTCTCTTCACGCTGGAGAATACTATAAAACAAGAACATTTTTTAAACTGTCCCAATATAATTAAATATATAGGCAAGATGCGATAAAGAGAGCGGAGAGGGAACGTCAGAATAAATATAAGAAAGAAAGAGAGGTAAATTTCAAATTTCCCTTGATAATAACTTTTTTGCCTGGCTTTATGCGTCGTAAAATAATGTCATTAAAGTTAATAAGCTTTTTAAATTATATTTTAGAAAAAAAATGAAAGCTGTTATTTTTAAGAATTTTATATCCAATATACTAGAAGCTGGTATAGTAAGATTAGACACTATGGATGGGCTAGAGTACTAGAAGGTTGTATAGTAAGATTAAATACTATGGATGAGATCCAATGTACTAGAAGGTTGTATAGTAAGATTAGATACTATGGATGAGATCCAATGTACTAGAAGGTTGTATAGTAAGATTAGATACTATGGATGAGATCCAATGTACTAGAAGGTTGTATAGTAAGATTAGATACTATGGATGAGATCCAATGTACTAGAAGGTTGTATAGTAAGATTAGATACTATGGATGAGATCCAATGTACTAGAAGGTTGTATAGTAAGATTAGATACTATGGATGAGATCCAATGTACTAGAAGGTTGTATAGTAAGATGAGATCCAATGTACTAGAAGGTTGTATAGTAAGATTAGATACTATGGATGGGCTCCAATGTACTAGAAGGTTGTATAGTAAGATTAGATACTATGGATGGGCTCCAATGTACTAGAAGGTTGTATAGTAAGATTAGATACTATGGATGGGCTCCAATGTACTAGAAGGTTGTATAGTAAGATTAGATACTATGGATGGGCTCCAATGTACTAGAAGGTTGTATAGTAAGATTAGATACTATGGATGGGCTCCAATGTACTAGAAGGTTGTATAGTAAGATTAGATACTATGGATGGGCTCCAATGTACTAGAAGGTTGTATAGTAAGATTAGATACTATGGATGGGCTCCAATGTACTAGAAGGTTGTATAGTAAGATTAGATACTATGGATGGGCTCCAATGTACTAGAAGGTTGTATAGTAAGATTAGATACTATGGATGGGCTCCAATGTACTAGAAGGTTGTATAGTAAGATTAGATACTATGGATGGGCTCCAATGTACTAGAAGGTTGTATAGTAAGATTAGATACTATGGATGGGCTCCAATGTACTAGAAGGTTGTATAGTAAGATTAGATACTATGGATGGGCTCCAATGTACTAGAAGGTTGTATAGTAAGATTAGATACTATGGATGGGCTCCAATGTACTAGAAGGTTGTATAGTAAGATTAGATACTATGGATGGGCTCCAATGTACTAGAAGGTTGTATAGTAAGATTAGATACTATGGATGGGCTCCAATGTACTAGAAGGTTGTATAGTAAGATTAGGTACTATGGATGGGCTCCAATGTACTAGAAATGTCGTCTTCATAGCACTGAACACTCAAAATCCTCGTATGACCTTTATCTTCCGCCAATAATCAGTTAAGTCATACGAGGATTTTGAGTGTCCATTGCCATGAAGGCGTCATTTCTAGTACATTGCAGCGCATTCAGTGCATCTCACCTTACATACACAACCCTGGTTAGAAACCTTACTTGCTATTAAACACAACTTGTTCTTCTTAAAAGCTATTGATATGAAAAAACGGGGTTGACATCAAATATGGAACATTTTCGGGTTTAAAAGGAAAACATAAAGAGCATTTTTTTGGAACAAAATTATCCACATTTACCAAATCTTTAAATGAAATAAATCATTTAATACCATTTTTCAACATTTTTACACGCTTCAAATATTTTATAAAATCTTATTCAAGTTCAGAATTCTATTATTATTATTTCTTTTTATCTTTTGACATTTTTCCAAATTCATTTGTTTTCTTAAAAGGTTCGAGATGTAGAGAGAGATAAAATCCGGGATCGTTATAAGATTGAGAAGAAACAACCTGAGGTAACTACATTAATTATTAAAATCAAAGATCACGCGGAACTAACTTAACCTTTGTTTGTCCGGCTTGAATTTTAATTAACTTTGTAACGTTTTAAAATTTTATTATACAAAGCGCATCAAAACTAGAAAAAAAATTAATTTTTTTTAATGTTCATAGTGTAAGGATTACGCCGAAATATATATATTTATTACTTTCTAATAAATAAGTATTTAAAAGACAAAATTCGTAAATACTACATTTAATGAATAAAAAATGTAAATATAATAACCTTACATTGGTAAACTTCTGAGAGCAATAATTGTATTTTTATAGATTACTTCAGAGCTTCAAACTTTAGAATTGTGGATATCGAGATCAATGCTTGATTTCATCTTTTTTAACCTAACTTTAGAATTGTGGATATCGAGATCAATGCTTGATTTCATCTTTTTTAAATTTCAAGATTAATTTAATCTGAAGTTAGTATCTACAAAAGTGTATATAACTCAACCAATCAAGTGGGGTTTGGAGAAATCAGAACAGCCAATCAGAGAGGCCGAGAATTTTGAAATTTTGCGCGCCATGTATTGAGAGAACTCTTATTGGTCGGAAACTCGCAGAGAGAGAAAAAGAAAGAAAAAGAGCTGATTAAGAATGAAATTAAAAGTGTCCACATTGGATATTCAGATTAAGCAGTCGGGATTAAAGATATCACTATGCAAACTAAATTTTTCAGCTTAGGATTCTTTGGTTTTCTTTATTTACGTTTAATTTGATTTTATTCATCTTTTACATACTTTACCGTACTTTCTTAGACATATACTTTGTTTATCATAATTAACATTAGTGGGTAACCCTGGTAGTTCTTAACTTTTATTGATTATCTGTTTAAAGGAGGAGGAAGAAGAGGAGGAGAGTGATGATGAAGAAGATAATATTGATTATCTGTTTAAAGGAGGAGGAAGAGGAGGAGGAGAGTGATAATGAAGAAGATTATATTGATTATCTGTTTAAAGGAGGAGGAAGAGGAGGAGAGTTATGATGAAGAAGATAATATTGATTATCTGTTTAAAGGAGGAGGAAGAGGAGGAGAGTGATGATGAAGAAGATAACTTTGGTCCGAAGAAGAAAGGAGAAGAGGAGGATGGGGATCCTGTTGCGCGTAAGTTTCTAAAAAAAAATCGGAAACATTCTTAGAATTGATTTTTCTTGTAAAACAAGAGGATTCTTAAAACTAAAGTTCGAATTTAATATTTTCTCCGTTTTAAATGTTATTTCATAAAATTTTTTCTTTTAAAAATAATTTAATATTTTTGTTTTAGAGGCGAAGAAGATTGCAGAATCCAAGATGAAAGAAGCCACGTCATTTTTCAAAAGTTTTTTCTAAATTCCAGTCTTGCACCGAGCTACCGTCATGCATTTACAAGCATTTTCAAGGCAGGGCCATGGCCTACGGGGCCTCAATTTGTTCAATTTTTTTTACACTTCTCGTTTTTAAGTGTTACTGTTTCTTTATTACTCTCGATGTAGTTTGAACAGCTAGTAGTGACCGATTTTTTAAAAACAATTTTGTGTCGTGTTTCTTATACATTTTTTTCATTATATTTACATACGTATATATACATTGACTGTTAAATAAAATTTAAAAAATAACTTCTTAATTTTTAATGGTATTAACATGCAAGAAAGATGTGATAAATTCATTTTTAATAAAAAATAAGGTTTCTTGGGGAAAACAAAATAATATTTAGTTCAGACATCTCTTGGGTCAAATTTGATACCAAAGGAAAAGTATAGTTGAAACAATTATGTATAGACATACTTCTTCTATAGTTTCAACTCTGCTCAAAGAAGAACTTCATCAAATACCTAGTTCAACTTATTTATTCTTTTTATTAATTCTGACCTCTGAACTCCAAAGTAATAAAAAAATCTTTGTTAAAAATGTCTAAGTTAAAAGCTAATTTTGCTTGGCGTGTAATACCTCAACTTATTTTTATTTTATTTAGAGAGAAAAATTAAATTTTTGGTTTTCTAATAACTGCAGTGCACACTGCCTTTCATGTTTTTCTTCCATGCATCATAAAGCTCTTTTTCGTACATTATTGAAAATTTACACAACCTACTATTTAGAAGATTTCCCCATTTTGGGGAGAATTTTTCGCATGATACACTTCCATTGCAAAATGTCCATGGTTTAAAAATATCCAAAGTTACAATTTTTTGGTTTATTTGAACTATTTTTATGCTCATTTGATTTACTATCTTAACATAACCTTACCCTGAAATAATACATACATTTGACCTATTTTTTGGTCCAGTTTAACTATTTTATTTAAACTACTTGCCGCAGCGTTCGGCACCCAAGCCTGTCCTAGCAGCAGCGCTCGGTCCAGAAATTGTCTTAACCAACCCTAACCTTGAAATAATACATACATTTGACTTATCTTTTGGTTCAGTTTAACTATTGATATGTTCATTTGAACAAGAAATTGTATTATTTTGTAAAATTTTGTAACTTTGGACATTTTGAAATCTTGGACATTATGTTATTTGGGCTTTTTGTTAATATTGGACATTTTGATTTTTGGGCGTTTTGTCTCCACTCCTCTTAAAGAATCCAATCAAAATATTGACAAATTCGGTTCAGCCGTTTTGATTTTATTACACAATCATCCTGACAAGGCTAATATACAATAAAAAATGAACAATGTAACATATTTCAAAATAAGTTTTAACTATTTCTAATTGTAATTATTTTTGTCAAGAAAATACTTATTTTTAATCGATCTCCTCCAAATAGTTTATACAGCAAACGACATTGTAATTGGTTTATGTTTGTATTTTTCTTTTTAGGGGGGGTGTAATTCAGATAACAAAATTCATTACAGATACAAAATATACGGTTTAATCATGATTTGGAAGGTTTAATGCATGGCATAAACTATAGAAAAACGGCGGGTTCTGATAAATATTTTTAACGATTGTGAATCGTTTATAGTCTTGATAAAATAAAGGAGGTTTCTTGAAATTCCTGTGTTAAATATTAATGCTATTTCTCCTGCCGTCATCTTATTTTTCCTTTTATCACGTTCGCTCTCATGATTGGAATACTTATTTTCCGATATATGAAAAATACAACATTATTTGGATTTCATGTTATCCTGTATTTTGTCTTCACACGGAGAAATTCATGGATTGCATCTTTTGAGAAAAAAAAATCAATCGATCTTAAGCACTTATTTACTAATCCCTATATCTTTGCAACCTATGGATGATAGTGAATAGAATTCAAAGCTTGAAATTTTAAAAGTATTCGAAATCAGGATGCAAATATATGGATAAAGATTAGAAATTTAGAATTTGAGGCAAAAAATAAGCTCCTTTAATTAACAAAAATTAAGTAAGACAACCAAACAACTTAAACGAAGTAAGACCCTGGGACACACATTTTGCGACATAAAATGCTTTAGATATAAATCAACCGTAAAGGAATTAAGTCTTTGGATTAAAATCAAACATTTAAACCTCAATATCTTTAGAACTCGATGTTGTAAACCTTTGATATTTCAAACTCAGATTATTTGATCTAACAGAATTCATAGTTTGAAATATCTAATGTCTGCAACATTTGGTTCCAAAGATATAGTGATTAGAAAATCAGAGTTTGTGGCAAAGACTCAATTCCTTTTATGATAATTATAAAGTTCTAAAGACAAAATTTTTAAGTATTGGGTAAGGGATGAGAGGGGGGGGGCTGGGTAATGCGTATACCCCGTTCCATAACCATAATTTCAGCTTTTAACTTTTACGTACACAAAGTAAAAGAAATAAATCTTAATTACAAATCATTTTTAAGTTTACATTGAGCGGACTCTATATTATCTACACATGTTGCTGGTCCTCGTCTTCCACTTACACTCTCTATAATATAGTTCAGATCATTACAAATATAGGAATTGAGTCTTTGTCACAAACTCTGATTTTTAATTCCTTTATCTTGCCAAACAAACGTTGTAGACCTCAGATATCTAAAACTTTGAATTCTGTTAGATAAACTAATTTTAGTTTAAAATATCGTAGGTTTACATTATCAAATTGCAAAGATATAGGGATTAGAAAATTTGAACTTGTGGCAAAGACTCAATTTCTTTTACTAATAACTTTACAAAATGTCCCATGTAAAACTCTTTAAACAGTATAAAATGCATGAATGTGTTTAATTTAAAACAAAATATACACAATGCAACTCTTACACAATGTGACAATGTGACAATGTGACAATGTGACAATGTGACAATGTAACAATGTGACAATGTGACAATGTGACAATGTGACAATGTGACAATGTGACAATTTGACAATGTAACAATGTGACAATGTGATAATGTAACAATGTGACAATGTGACGATGTGACAATGTGACAATTTGCAATTAAAACCCATAAAGCAGTGAACTATGTCCAAGTATGACTATGATTTTTTTTTAAACGGCTGAGGATTTTTCTATGGCAAGATATTTTACAGCATCACCATAGTTCACAATAATTACTTCAGATGAACTATTAAAGTAAAATCAAATTTTACCAGGAGATATGCAGAATCTGTACATTGTAGAGCAATCCTGTACTTCATATGCCCGACAAATCTCATCTGAAGTACAGGGAGTCAAAAGAAATATTTACATTACAGAAATGTTGTGGTTTAACAGTTAAACTATTTTGATCCTATACAGGTGTCATTTTCTGCCAGTTTCGATAATAAATACGATTCTACAATTATGTGTAAAAACTAGGCGGCTAGGACCTTTCGCGCCCCCTTTACAATTTACAATTTTTGCTTTACTTTTGATTGGAAAATGGCCAATTTTTATCATTCTCAAAGTTCGCAGATTTTCTATTCGGGCCCGATCAGTAAGCCGGGTTGACGTTTATTGGATAAAACAAATAGACAAACAACCAGACTAGCAAAGTAAATAGATAAATAAAGTAAAATGTATCGGCAACTTGAAAATCTCTGTTTCACTTTTCATTAAAATAAGAAAAATAATGTAGCAATGACCCTCAAAACTGTAATCAACCATTTTAATCTGTCATATTTGAACCCTCATGGAATTTACATTATTGTCAAGCAACTACATTAAGTCTAAAACTAAAGATTGTAAGATAAATTTGTAAGCTTAAACTAAAGAAATAAATATGTTGGTAAAAAGCTTGGAATGAAAGTGAATTAGGATCAAATATACTCAAACAATATTTTTATAATTAACAATTTTTCGTCGTGCGTGGATACATTTGTTTGGATTTCAATCTATTAATATAAAACCAAAATGAAACGTCCAAATTATTTTTAATTATTGAAGATACATAATAGAAGGTAGAAGGTACAACATTATGGAGAGCTTGAAGAGACTGTAAAGGAAAAATAGAGGGGGTATATAGGATAAAACCTAAGCATTTCATGAGTTGATCGAGACCCATGAGAAATTGATTTAAAACTTTGTCAAAATTATACGAAAATCTATGTATATGAAATTTGGTATAAATTTAGTAGGTTTGCGTATTCAGCAAATACGCAAACAACCTGAAAACGATTATATCCCGCAGAAGCCTGAGAACCTTAGGTTTGCTCCCACTATAATTTTTTATTTTTATTTTGCATTTTTAATAGATATGCTTGATAATGTTATTTATAAGTCGGTATTACGTCACAAGAACTCCATCCAATGAGAGTGCAGTATACTGGTCACGTGATAGACGGAAATCACGTGACCAGTGTACTGCACTTCCATTGGCTGAAGTTCTGGTGACATAATACGGACTATACGGACTATACGGACTAGATGTAATAATATTATCAAGTATATCTATTAGAAATGCAAAATAAAAATAAAATAATTATAACAGGAGCAAACCTGAGATTCTCAGATTTCTGTGGGATATCGTCGTTTTGAGATTGGTTGCGTATTTGTGGAATATGATATGTTTAATACTGCAACTTTTTTACAAAATTGAATATATATGAATTTTCGGATAAATTTTGCACAGTTTTTTTTTTAAAATCAATTTCTCGAGACAGAAACATCGAATAGATTGTTTTATATGTATCGTTCAACGCCTGAGATTCTCAGGTTCATCCTATACCCCCTTTAATTTTTCCTTTACAGTCCCTTTAAATTCGTCTAACCTTTCTTTGATACTCAATTTGACATAAGATAACTTTTGAAGATCAAAAAGTTGTTAAGCTTTTTTATATACAAGATTTGACTGGTTATTATTACCTAACTGTTGGCGCGTACTTGTTGATGTTGTTTTATTGAACTGTATCATTGATGTTGATGTTGTTGTTTTATTGAACTGTATCATTGATGATATTTCTACAGAGTAATCTTTTACACAGTTTGGAAACTAGAAATATTTCATGACGTAAGAAAATTTCTCTTCATTAAGAATCTTAATTAATTTTTATCCAGAAAAAAATACAAAAAAAAGAAGTTTTAGGAAGTGACGAGCAAGCTTTTATCAGCACAAACAGTACACCCGAACCGAACACATAGTACATAGAAAATAGTTATAGCGCATTATAGAGGGGGGGGGGCGCTAGCCCTCTTTTCCCCACAAATTATACACAAATTGTACACCAATGACAGTATAACTAAGGACAAGGATTGCTTGAATTTTAATACATGACGTATTGGGAAAGAAAAGAAAACTTTAGGAAAGAAGGAATGGATTTTAGAACAGGAGTGCTAGGCCTAAATAAATACCAGGGAGTAAGGAATAGAAGGGAGATATAACTGACGCGGTTCGCCCTACCTAATGATTACACATGCTTTGCAGACGGTACTCCATATGTATAATAAACATTCAGAATATGTTATTGTATACGCGGCAATTGTACATCAGACAAATATTTCTAAATGTCACTGTCATTACGTCACAGCAGATTTTATCCTTGATAGTGATACTGTAACCTGAGAAGGTGGATTCCAGCACATCACTAGAATCAGATCGTCAGATGATTGTTTGTGTACATTTGAAACCGGTCCAGGGATGCCTGTAAAAGTTAGGAATATACAGGGTTAACCACAAAGGATCAGACTATAAATACGACCAAAAAATCCTTAATTTTGTCGAGCTTGGTCTTTGGACTGTTATTGACGATCTTGGCAAAGGAAATTACAAGTCTTTAATTATAAGGAACCACTAATAAAGAAATAATAACAGAACAATTCTGCCTCCTCCCCAATCCTTCACATAGTATTGTTGGTCTAAACTACCTCCCCAATCCTTCACATAGTATAGTTGGTCTAAACTACCTCCCCAATCCTTCACATAGTATCGTTGGTCTAAACTACCTCCCCAATCATTCACATAGTATAGTTGGTCTAAACTACCTCCCTAATCCTTCACATAGTATCGTTGGTCTAAACTACCTCCCCAATCCTTCACATAGTAGCGTTGGTCTAAACTACCTCCCCAATCCTTCACATAGTATCGTTGGTCTAAACTACCTTTATTTATTCTAGTCACATATTGAATGTTCTTCTATATTTCTGTCAATGTATTGGATTTCCGATAATATGTTTAATGTGCAGTATTTACTCAGAGCTGAAAACTTTAGAATGATGGATATCAAGATTAATGCTTAAACTCCTGGTTTAACTAAACCCGAGATTATTTTAATACGCATTCGATATCCAAGAAAGAAGCATAAAATTCAACTAATCGGCGTATCATGTTAAGATGTACTCTTTAACCATAGATAAAGATAGATTGCGCATAAGACGACATTTTTCATCTTGAAAGATATAAATGTACAGAGATGTTTTAAAGATATTCCTATTATATAGATTAACTAGGTCGGTTGTGAACATTGGCTGTTCTTATGTCATTGAGTACTTGTGGTGTACATGAGTTCTGTAGATAGAAATTTAAGTTAGTTTAGTCCTTCTCATGTCCTTCTTCAGTTCTCGTCAATATGATATATTGCTCAGTGAAATATTTTTGTTCAAATAGTTCCATTCCCGGAGTTATTTTAAACTCTGTTATGAAATCCATTAAAACACCAAACTACCCCGCTTATCATTGAAGTACACTTTGACCCCTAGAAGTATGAGTTCGCGGACTGTACAATTTTTGTTGTTTTTGCGTACATAAGCTATCTATGTTTATTTATTTATCTATGTCTTTAACTTTTTAAAAACCATTTTTTTTCTGGTGTTAATTGTGTCATATCAATTGAACTAAACATCGATTAAATAAATGTAAGTTTTGGATTAATGTTTGTTAAGACAAACGTTACAAATGATGATAGTCCTAAAATGAGATAAAATATATTTTTCAATAATTTCATATTAACATGATTAAATTTATATTTGCTTAAATGCCCTTAAAGCCGGCTTGTGAACAGCTGACTTTAATTCAATCGGATATTAGTTAAATCGATATAGCATTGTATCTGTATTGTATTGTATCCAAAAAAGAGGATTAAGAATAAAATCAAAAGATACTTAGATTAAGCGATCAGGATTAAGGATATCTCATTCTATAGTTTTCAGCTTAGTACACATTTAAAGAATATTTTATTTTATTATAAAAAAGTATTGTTTAGAATATGTAATGAACCATTATGAAAAGAGTCTCAAAAACCTTTAAGTTAAGTGGCTCCTATAAAATTCTAAATCAATCATTAAGAATCTGCAATCAGAAGTTACAAAAAAGAAAATACTAAATGTTTCCACTTGATTATCTTGTTTATTGGAAATAAATCCCCAAATCACTACTGTAGAGAAACTAATGTTGGAAATGAAAAATTCTCAAAGAGAAAACAAGAATATCTTCAATAGTTTTGATCATACTAAGGTTTAAAAAGTGCTTCTATCAACAGACAAGCAAAGTATATTTACAAATGTAAATCGTTTTAGTTTATAACTTTGGCCAGAGTAATAATTTTGCATCTTCTATATACAGGGTTACCCACAAAGAAGACTCAATTTAACCTTGAAATCGTCATATTATCCGAGTTTCAGGTCGTCTTTGCAGTTTCATCCTTTGTGGGTAACCCTGTAAAGGTAAAGTTTTAGATCCAGGCAAAGCTGGGTTCCCAAACTAGTAATACAATAAAGGCAAACTTATTGAGCATACAATTTTGAAGTGGGAACAGCATCTACGTTTCTTTTATGATCTCTTAAAAGTAAAAAAAAACCTTAAATGTTTGAAAAACGGAACCGCAAAGCAATATTTGTGAGTAATCTTGTATTCAATTCAATACCTGTAATAAACTTGTATATTCCCTTGTACCTGCTGCTGTGGATACTTGTACAGTAGCTGCAGTACTATTGGTTACCACCCCCCAGTCAGCTGAGTAAGCTATTATACTGTACATAGAAAAATATCAAAATTCAAATAACCTATTTTTATTACATTTAAAGTTTTTGTACTGGAGCATAGCATGCTATAGTTAAATTTTTATTTTTTTATATTCTTTAAGAAATATGTGTTTCTGAATAACGCCAGCTGTTTTTAATGTTTGTACCTAAATATTATATACAGCACAGGATGATAAACCTGTTTACCTGAGTGTATACACAGTACAAGCTGATAAACCGGTTTACCTGAGTGTATAAACAGTACAAGCTGATAAACCGGTTTACCTGAGTGTATAAACAGTACAAGCTGATAAACCAGTTTACCTGAGTGTATAAACAGTACAAGCTGATAAACCAGTTTACCTGAGTGTATAAACAGTACAAGCTGATAAACCGGTTATCTGAAATTCATTTACATGGTTTCCCTCCAGGTACACTGTCTGTTCACTAAACAAAACTAAGAGAGTTTATAAATTTCAAAATGGGGGTTCGTGCACTGTATGTCGAATCAATGTTAGATTTTAGATAAACTTTAGTAGATGCGAAGCTGGACTTGATAAACAAGAAGAAGTAGTGGAACCTGTTATGAGTAGTTTAACTTCTTCACTAAAGTAAACTCTTATTACACTTATTACCTCTTGTTAATAGATATTTATTAATTTCTTAAATAAAGAAAACTCTGATAAATGATTATCTTATATTTTGTCTCTCACCCCATTTCTGAAATTATCAACTCTGTGTTTGAGTCCGAAGAGACTTATTGTTGATTAGAAACTTGTATTGTTGCTAGTTAGTATTATTTCGTTTGGACGTTTTTTTGAAGAAATGTCACGAATTATAAATTCTTTTAAGAACGTAAAAAGTAATACCTGTTCTTAACAAATAATAATAAATATGGACACATTTTTAAATTACTGTTAAAAAGCCTGCATCTACCTCGAACTTTCCCAAGAAACAAAATATCCTGAAAGGTGAAAAAAAAAGTATTTTTATTTCTGAAAACTCCCCTCCGTGTCATTGTTCAAATATAAAAGTACACCTGGGTTGCTGCCAGAAACCGAATAAAAAACAAATATGTTCAACTAATGTATAAAAGGTTATTATCTATAGGGCTGGAAAACTGAATATCTAAAATACTTTTATCCCTTTGATGCAAGCGGCTCCAATCCTTGGTGGTTTCCAGAAGATCCAGATACTCTCCTCTCCCGTATTGTACTCCAGATACTGGGGAGACCCCAGATTAACTCCAACTTAACAAAATGTAAACTTAATTTCTATTTATCTTTTAACTAAATTGTGTCACAAGCAGAAGAGTTACATTTTTTTTTCATAGAAAGATGCTAGAAACTTAAAATCAACAAATCCAGTTTTTTTTCTTTGTTGTAGAAATTGCCCATAGTAGTTAAATTGTAACTTTACAACATAAATGATGTTTTTTGCGTCATATTCTACTTTCTTATCCAATATATTGAGTTAAGTGAAGAACATTTCTTTATCAAGTGCTTGACTATTGACCAGAGGGACCGCCAGGGTGAGTTGTTCCCCAGGTCTGATTATTTAGATATATGTTAGCATACATAATTTATACCATTTACAACTTCAGGGAGGTTGGAAAAAGTCTTAAATACGTTGTTTGAAATGTTTAATTCAAAAGTATTTTCTTCAATTAAATTGCTTTTATTTTTTTATGAAATGTGCGAAATTTCGGTTAAAAATCCGCGAAATTGTCAAATTATGTACAACAGATGCTGATCAATGATGTGGAGGATTGCTGTAAGGTTTTATTTCTGATAATTTCAATATATGTTTGTAAAATTCTAAGATAACCCCTTTTTATCAAACTAACACATCTTTCAGAGAAATATCTAATTCAAAGTCTAATCCTTTATTTTGATTTCAAAATTTAATCTTATTCAATATTTTCATATCATATTTTTTGATGCTTTTGTATACCTGAGAGTAAAAAGATGGATAAGATTATTTGATAAAAAGTACTCTAAATATTTTCAACTATTGTATACAATTTTCACCGAATTATCATAAAACATTTGTCGGATAAACTTTATTAAGTTCAATTTTGATTTATTCATTCAAAATTTTCGGCTTTAATAAATCTTTAAAAATATTTTATAATTTACAATAATTTAAAATATTATTTAAAGGGAGTGTTCGCTAAAAATGAAAGGGGGTATAGGCTTAATGCAATAAAAAAAGCGCTTTTGATCGGTACTAATCTTACTTCTATCTGTTGCGTCTAAAAGGAAAAAATTGTTAAAAACGACTCACACCGAAGAACGCAGCGCCCATACAAATTCGGAAAGATGCAACATCCAACTCGGATCGTAAACAAATGAATTTTTTAATTCCAAACAAATCATTCAGATATTCCAAACAAAAGTCATCGGTTATTTTTCGACGCATTCGTATATAGTTGATATTTCATAATATTTTTGATTTTGTTTTTTATGAAATAATTTTCGCTGGCGCTGGATTTTCGAACATTCCTGGAAAATATGAAAATGTCGTCTTCATTATCAAAAATCCCCGAAACAGGAATAAATGTTTTCAAAAGTAACTCTCAGATCAAGACAAATATAAAATATTTTGAAATATCAATTATTTACAAATGTGTCGAAAAATAATCGATGACTATTGTTTGTAATTTATCCGAATGATTTGCTTGGAATCAAATTGATTTGTTTACGATCCGAGTTGAATGTTGCATCTTTCTGAATTTGTACGGACACTAAGTTCTTCGGTATTAGTCGTTTTTAACAATTTTCTCCTTATAGACGCAACAGATAGAAGTAAGATTAGTACCGATCAAAAGCGCTTTTTTCCCGCATTAAGCCTATTCCCCCTTTCATTTTTCGCGAACACTCCCTTTAAAATAATAAAGTTAGGATTAGTTCGGTAAACAATGAAAACAAGAGATTTAAAAAAATTGTAGAACCCACTTGAAATCTAAAATCTAGAAAAATCTCTTTTGTAAAAACTTGACCTATCTCTCTTGTCAGCCCAATGTTCTATTCAATCTTGAAACATGAATACATGAATGTTTGAAACCTGGATGAATGATGAATGTACACAATATCTTACAATGACGACACCTAGTCAGGGGCTTAACTTTTTAAAATTTTCAGGGGGTCGGAGGGTGGGGGCTAACCTCCCGTTAGGAGGAAGTCGAATACAAACATAGTGTTCAGTTGTTCAGGGGGGTTCAGCCCCTGTTACCCCCCCCTTTCCCCCCTCCGGACACTGGGACGCTTATCTATATATAAATTTATTCATTATACAGTTTATTTAACAGTTTAAAAAATTCGAAATTGAAATGGATAGTATAGGCAACATACTGTATTAATGTACTGTACTGCATATAATTTGTGAACATTTACATGATTTGTACACTTTGAACTCCCTTTCAGACTGAAAGGGACTGAAAAAATTCATACCGAGAGATTCTTTTAATTCCTCTCTATATATTCTATTCTCTATGGTGACTAGGCACGGCATATAAGGTTTTTTTTTGTTAAGAATGAATATTTTAACCTGCTGGCTGATCTTGGAACTCGGATTGTACACATAAAGCTGAGGTTCCACGCAGACAGGAACTATAGTTGGAACCAGGAACCCAGTAGAAGGAGACATAATTAGAACCACTATCCTTAGGTCTAGATAGATATATACATAATTAGAACCACTAGCTTAAGGTCTAGATAGATAAATAAATTATCAGAAAAACATCTTAAAAAAGTTGAACAGTTAGATCCCGGAATGCTATGAGTTTATGTATCTTCAGTACCTGAGTTGGGATGGTCTACTTGGGTTTTCAAAACTAGTTGCTCCAGAAGTTGATACCATCCTTCCTAAAACATATGTTTCTGTAGATACCATCCTTCCTAAAAAATACATTTCTGTAGATACCATCCTCCCTAAAACTCGTTACTCCAGAGATAGATGCCTTCCTTCCTAAATGTATGTTTTCTGTGGACACTATCCTTCCTTAATGTATGTTTTCCGTGGATATAATCCTTCCTAAATGTATGTTTTCTGTGGATACTATCCTTCCTAAATATGTGTTTTCTGTAGATACTATCCTTCCTAAATATATCCTTTATCTGAAAATTAAGAATGCCATATGAATTTCTAATTCTAATTTTTATCGTGAAATGAGATATATTTTGTCAGCGTTCTTTTCTTGTCTCTGCTGCATAATTCCGCAAGTATTTTTCATGATAAGAAATTTTTTTCTCGCATTTTTGCGCTTTAAAACAGGATGAAAAGTTACCATTAATTGGGATTCTTTTTTTGGAGGGTTGAGATTTGGAGACACGTTGACAAATTTATTTACCCTCATTCCCAGACCCAGTTACAGGGGTGACAGTTACTCCATACCCAACACAGGCCTGCAATTCTAAACATATATCATGCAAGGATTAAAAGGATTTTTTCCCTCCGTCTTGGGATAAAAACACATTAATCTGTTCAGGAATAACAAGACTGAAGTAAAATTTGTGAACCAAGAAATATTTATATCACGGGCAGCCGTAGTACATTTGAATTTCCGAGCCGGGTCAACCTTTCTGGTCCCAGTTTGTACTGTATCGCCCGGACTTTGGGTATATAAAGCAGACACTCAATAGGACTAGTCGGTGCAACAAGGTTGACGCGGTCAGACTTTAGGTTGAATTAACTTTTACTAAAGGGTCAGAGGTGCGTGATATCAATCACAAATTAAATCAGGAACATCTTGGAAACTGTTATTGTTTACGAATGTAAGAAAGAATAATTCCCCTGGAGAAACAAAAAGGAAAAACTAAAAAGCTAAGTCTAAAAGAAGAACAAAGAGCGTGAAGCGCCCATCAAACTCACAATTCTTTTTTTTCCTCCAGAAAATCATAAACGTTTAACTTTATACTATGATGTTTACCTTTTATCTCTAGGGATAGTTCTTCTGTCTCCAGACTCACTTGATATTCTTGGTTCGAGGTTAGATCATTCAAATAAACTTAAAGGGAGTGTTCTCAAAAAATAATTGAGGATTAGGGTCGATTTACAAATACTAAATTGTGAAAAGGTTGCATTACTTTCATTCATATAGAAGTTTTTCTTATGAACGATATAATATACATGTCAACAAATTGTGCAGGAACATGGAATAGAAAAAATTCCAAAAAAACCGAAGAATCTAATATCTGTTCATATCCAATAGTTTTATTCATATTTTGCCTATACACAATTATTTGTCACGTAAATTATTAGGATTTTTGAGACATCTTTACAGAAATGAGGTTTAAAAAAATATTCCTGGGGTTGAAAAGGTTTTTAGAATTTAAATGTTGAAAACTAAAATAAAATGTTGCTTTTTATGAACTATTCAGAGTATTTTTTGAATAGAGCATTCTTTTTTCAACCAAGAAAAAATTTGATATTTGATATTAAAGGGAGTGACCGGCAATGTATGGTAGTTAAACTGAGAATGTAGTATTGCAGGGAAATTTTAAGAATTCATTTGAGACATATAAAACATTTTAATGATGTATAATTACCGAGTTTGAGCCTAAAGTCGAGGTTCAAAATCATCCGTTTGGGCTTTGCTGAACAAATATGCCCCGTATAAACGTCTGATAGGTCTCAAATGATTCCTAACAAATTTTTCCACAATACTGCATTCTCAGTTCACCTACCATACATTGTCGGTCACTCCCTTTAAAAGCAGAAACTTTTGATTTAACGTGATTAAGTGCAGCTCAATCTGTGACTGTTGACCACGATCGGACGCAAACAATATAATAGTTAACCTTTATAATGATGTACGCAGTATTCTCCTTCCTGTGGTGGTACCCAGCTGACCTGTAGGCTACTACTCGTCTCATCTTGTAGTACAGTTATAGTACAGTACATATAGTACAAAGAATATACAGTTGTCATGACACATATGTCCAGTTGCGCTTGCGATTTAATATCCAATATGTATACTATTAATATTTAATATGTATACTATTCTGGGTGAAGCAAGGTGAAATTTACACAATCAACCTTCCTTACTTTCCTGAGTTTAAGATAATTTGAATTTATTATTAAATTAAGTTAATATTTTTACAATGCTTTTCAATCTCACTTTTCTTTGCTTTATAGACAATAATTAGTTATCATCTGATAGAGAAGCCAATATTCTGCATTCCATGTAAAATTGAGCTATATTTTGAGATGAGTCTGAATAAATTCTAAGAAATTTGAAAGAAAACTATTTATATATTTTCTCAAATTTCATAACCTGTTGGTGATTTAAAAATAAACATTATTTTGAAATTTTGGCACCATTAAAAATTAATTTTTTTTGGGTCCTTTTTATATCAAAATGATTCCCTAATAGTAATGATTTATTTAATGCATGATATTTCTATTGATTAACAAACCATTAAGAGATTTGTTCCGCTAATTAAGCTTTATATTACTAATTGTTTTTATCACTTACCAGATATTAGAAGGTTCTGAGGTGTACTGGGCAATTCTTCTTTTAGCACTAAAATATTTGCTTAAAAGGAAAAATGATAATGTTAAAAATAACAACTTAAAAAATTATCATCATTGATGGATTCTTTTTAATTGAGGAAAATGATTTGAAGGAAAACAACATATTTTTCTAAACTTAATCAAAAATCTTTTTGTAAAGATTTTTGATGAAACAAGCTTAAATTTACTTCAATATTTTGTACAGGGTGGCCCACTAAGTATGCCATGTTAAGAAGCGACTTAAAGATCGACTTTAATCTTTGATATAGACATCTATTGACAATTGTTTTTCATAAAAAAGTTTCTCAACTTAAAAGTCATATTATGGTGTACCTTATATTTATCTTCAAAAGTGACAAAGAGATAGAACGCCAGGAAAATTTGATTCTACTTTATAATTTGACATCTGAACAAAATCCTATTATATATTTGGTAATTTAGGAATTGAAAAAATTGCAGAACACATTTGAATATATCATGAATGGATGCCGTAAGTTATTTCAAGATCAAGGAAGAACTTCAAGTTCTACGTTCATGTTTAGTGGGCCACCTTGTTCATGTTTAGTGGGCCACCTTGTTCATGTTTAGTGGGCCACCTTGTTCATGTTTAGTGGGCTACCTTGTTCATGTTTAGTGGGCTACCTTGTTCATGTTTAGTGGGCCACCTTGTTCATGTTTAGTGGGCCACCTTGTTCATGTTTAGTGGGCCACCTTTTTCATGTTTAGTGGGCAACCTTGTTCATGTTCAGTGGGCCACCTTGTTCATGTTCAGTGGGCCACCTTGTTCATGTTCAGTGGGCCACCTTGTTCATGTTCAGTGGGCCACCTTGTTCATGCTTAGTGGGCCACCTTGTTCCTGTTTAGTGGACCACCTTGTTCATGTTTAGTCACCTTGTTCATGTTTAGTGGGCCACCTTGTTCATGTTCAGTGGGCCACCTTGTTCATGCTTAGTGGGCCACCTTGTTCCTGTTTAGTGGACCACCTTGTTCATGTTTAGTGGACCACCTTGTTCGTGTTTAGTGGGCCACCTTGTTCATGTTTAGTGGGCCACCTTGTACTTTTTTGATACATTAGTTTAACAAAAGTAAAAACTACACTGTTATTTATCATATGTTTTCATGATTGGCCAATATAAAATCAGTTTTTTTAAAAATTGAAATCATTCCTTTCTTTTAATAATTTTCCAGCTTAGAGCTTTTTACATGATGTTTGTGAATGTACATTATCAAATATTCTCTTTTACCTATTTCCTGAGAATTATAATCAAACAATTCACCATCATCCATTTCCGCTTGTAAACTCACATTGTACTTTATACAACTCCTGTACATTGGTTAATTTATTAATATGCAGAGTACGCTAATATTGTACACTGTGCAGTGTGCAGTACACTATTTGTACAGTATACATACATATTCTGTTCACTGCTCAGTTGTTAATGTTGAAATCAAACATATGTACGACGTACATTAAACATTTTGCGCTGTACATTAAACATTTTGCGCTGTACGTTAAACATTTTGCGCTGTACATTAAACATTTTGCACAGTACATTAAACATTTTGCGCTGTTCATTAAACTTTTGCACGGCACATTAAACATTTTGCACTGTACATTAAACATTTTGCTCTGTACATGAAACAGTTTGCACTGCACATTAAAAATTTTGCACTGTACATTAAACATTTTGCACTGTACATTAAATATTTAGCGCTGTACATTAAACATTTTGCGCAGTACATTAAAATTGTCATCTATCCCGCACAATAACCTAACCGCCAAAAAAGTCCTTGGAAAAAAAATTTCCGGTAAAAAAGTCTTAAAATTTCCCACTAAAAAAGTCCTGTGGAAAAAAGTCATTTTATTAAAAAGTTTCCGGAAATAAAGTCCTACCAATTCAAGACTTTATTTTCTAGGACTTTTTTCTGGCTCCAGTATGATTTTCTACAAAAAAGTTCTTAGAAAAAAGTCCTCTAACAAGTGAAAATGCATGATACACCATGGAAAAAAGTCCTAGTTGTAAACATCCTTACAATGATCGTAGGTTTTCAGGGGCCTGTTATTAAAACACCCCTAACTATATATATTCAATATGCAGATATAAGGAAAAATAATTCCCTTTTATGGAACATAATTTACATATACATTTAAAATATAATTGTTACATATATATATACATATTCATCACAAGTGTAGTTAGCATTTACTTTTTCATTTTATTTAATAACATAAAATTAGCCCTGTTTATGATGTACATTATTACATAGTACACTTGTACGGGGAAATATATACACAACTTTTTTAGGACTTTTTTCTTCAGACTTTAATTACTGAGTTCATATTTCCCGAGACTTTTTTTCTAGGTTTTTCTTTTCCTCGGATTTTTTTTCTTCCGGACTTTTAATTGGCAGCCCCCATACTAGTTTAGAAAAAAAGTCCCAGAAATCCAAAACACAGAACTTTATTTCCAGTGACATTTTTTCAAAGACTTGAGAAAATTCTGATTTTTTGCTACAGTTTTTATTTCTAGGTTTTTTCCTGAAACTTTTTTCCCGGGACTTTCTTACATCGATTCACCAATTTATTTACAATTCGTTATAGTGTACATTAGTTTACTTTTTATGCACCTCCTGTGCAACGTAAGTATACATTAATTTTTTTTGGTTTTAAACTTTCTTTTACTATATAGTATAAACAGGGTTACACACAAAAGATGAGATTTCAGAGACGATTGTGCGGAATTTATTTAATCTGTTTTCTTGCATTTAGGGTTCCTTGTATAGACCAAAACTGGCTTATTTCTGTGCTTGACCATTTAGTACACCATCAAAATTCTCTTTAAAATGCAGAAACCAAAACGCAATCTTTAAATCGTCATATTTTTAGAGTTTTGGGTCGTCTTTAAAGTCTCAACCTTGGGGTAACCTTGTATAAGAAAATCATGATTATTATTCCGATCTGCTGCTGATTCTTAAAAAAGCTTTTGTTAAATATCTTATAAAAATGAGTCTAAATCGCAAACACAAGTAGAGATTAATATTGTTTAAACTTAAAGATTAAAAAAATTTGAATTGAGTTATAAAGTTTCCCAAAATTCAATTTCTGTTAATAAATCAGAATCAATTCCAAACAACTATTTTTTACTGACATGTAATAATGTTTGTATGTAATTTACTAACCTGAGATTTTCTATGTACTGCGTACACGAAGTTCGAGTACAGAAGACATTAAGAGTGTAATTGTAATAACCTGTACTTACATCCTCCAACTTCACATGGTAACTTAATAAAAAAACCAAAAACCATACATTGTAGTAGTTGAAGTAGTCTGTAGTATTATCAATATAGGGCAGTGCGATTATTCATTTTACCCCCACTGCATTTAATCCTGAAACCGCACTTGTTTCATGGTACTCAGTTTTTTGGTTCTACTTATATGGATAAAGTTCAAGTTTTTTTGGATTCTACTCTATACAGAATATAATTCTAGATATCTAGGTTGCAGAAGACGACTTTTAAAAGCATAGTTTAGAGGTGAATACATCAAAGTCAACCCACATTATTTTCCTAACTCAATCAATTTAAATCTTTCCATAAGATACAATATATTATTTCCCATTTAAAGAAAATCTAAAATTTTAAAATAATTTTTTATACCTGACAGATATCATTTATATTTTAAAGATATCCCATTTTTTCACCTTTTAAAATAGTAACTCAGCAAGATTTCTTTTGATTATGCCAAAAAAAGTAGCTTATTTTAATTTTTGTTACTTGTGCGCATTGCAAACAGAACATTTTGTAAGACGTACAGTGATACCCTTAATAACGAATTCATCGGAAGAATTTATTAAATGTCGTCTTGACTATTTTTCAATGAGTTTTATACCATATTACGTAAATTACGTAAAGTATTTGCGAAAATAAATAAATAGCCATGAATATGCGGGACCAGTTTTAAAGAGTTCCATATAATCATTTAATTAAAATACTAAATAACTGCAACATTCCATTATCAGAAAGTGAAGAATACGACATTTGATGAATTTTTTCGATGTATGTGTTATTAAGGGTTTCATTTCAAGGTGTTATTAATGATTGAGTCAAAATGATGAGTTATATTGTACACACAATATGTCCCAGCTAAAAAATCTACTTTTAAACTACTCAAAATAATCACCCGCTGTTAATTAAGGTTTTTTGATATTCAATTAATGAACGCAACTAGAGTAGAGTAAGAAGAAGTATAGAATATAAACAGTTGAACTGTTTCAAACATGTCTCAATATTTAAACATTAAGTTGCTGAAGTTTCCCAACCTTTAAGCGGCTTATGTAAACTTCTTTTATTAATGGAAATATATTGAGCTCTCCGGGTTTCCCGGCACTGTAAAAATCATAGAATTCATGTATATGCATTTACATGTGCTTAATAAAATATTTATTTATTATTTATTTTATCTAATTTGAAAATCCTGGGTTATGTGGGATCGATTTTGGACTTTTTTTTAAAATTGAAATATATCTGTAAAGACATGAGTTGTTGCTAAATTTCAGGCTCCTAGGTCTTAAAAATGTAACCGAAATTTATATTTAGCATTCCAAAAGTTCAAAAAATTTCTAGCCAAAAATTTTTTTTCGAAACATCGAAATTTGTTATGCATCAAAAGAAAGCTGGTGAATACTGTACATTTTTTATTAAATATTTTCCAAATTATTTTACGTATTAATGACAAAAACAGATATTTTTGTTCTCAAATATTGGTTTTTGGCCTTATGGATCTTTCAATACAGGGTGTCCCATGAAACATGACAGTTGGTGAATAATTTAAAATGTCTTCTTCCATAATTACTTAAGTTGTTTAATACCAAAGAGAATTATAAGAATATTTAATGGTAATCATATTATAATAAAATTGATTTCAAAGTAAAATATATTTTGGCAAAAGATTTTATTGAACAAAAAAAAGTTTTTAATATCTATTACAATATAGGGAAGAAGACATTTCAAATTATTCACAAATCTCATGTTTCGTGGAACACCCTGTACGTACCCATATATCCATGTATTTTGAAAAAAATAATTTCGCTTGCATTAGGGAATTATTAGTTTGAAAAAACGGTTTCCGGTTGGCAATTTCAATTAAAAAAATGTATTTTTTAAACGTTGTTTTAATATTAAAAACTAATCCTATGTGTTTAGCTAAAGAAGTGCAATGGTAAATATGTTGATGAACCCTACTCTGGGTATATATGATTCACAACCTTTAATGTATTTATGAATAGGCCTTATAATTAATAAATGCTGTGCGTTTTATGCTATAGTACGATTTTTTTTCCATTCGTATTAACTGTAAAACACTATTATTGAAACAAAACAGAAGAAACTATAACATTAAAACACCCCTTTCTTCTTTGTCAATATTTCTTTTTGGTTACTTTTTTTCAAAATCATCAAGAATTTAGATGTGAAATGTTATGATTGATGAATAAATATTCTGTAGTATTACGGTAGTCTTACTGTAGTCTTACTGTAGTCTTACTGTTATAGTCTTACTGTATTCTACTGTAGTCTTACTCTAGTCTTACTGCAATCTTACTGTAGTCTTACTGTTGTCTTACTGTAATCTTACTGTAGTCTTACTGTAGTCTTATTGTAGTCTTACTGTAGTTTACTTTAGCCTTACTGTGGTCTTACTGTAGTCTTACTGTAGTTTACTGTAGTCTTACTGTAGTCTTACTGTAGTTACTGTAGTCTTACTGTAGTCTTAATTTAGTCTTACCGTAGTCTTACTGTAGTCTTACTGTAATCTTTCTGTAGTCTGTACCTTCTGACGAATAGTACATCTTCTGGTGATATTTCACAGTGAAGCAGCCAGGATATATTTAACCAAGTAGATCCAATATCAATATCTAAATATATAACATATATCCAGGATATATTTAACCAAGTAGATCCAATATCAATATCTAAATATATATCATATATCCAGGATATGTTTAACCAAGTAGATCCAATATCAATATCTAAATATATATCATATAGCCAGGATATATTTAACCAAGTAGATCCAATATCAATATCTAAATATATAACATATATCCAGGATATGTTTAACCAAGTAGATCCAATATCAATATCTAAATATATATCATATATCAAGGATATATTTAACCAAGATAAATCTAATATCCTAATATCAAAATATGTTTAATTTATTAGATTTATGATAATTTTTTTTCTTCAATGCTTTCTTGTTATTGAAAAGTTTAAAAGGTGTTTACCAATAGTTTTACAATCTTCTTGTCCTCCTACTCCCAGAACTAATCCTAGAACACCGAGGACAGAGAGAACATACATCCTCTAAATTAAACAAGACTAGATTTTTTGTAGATTAAAATATTGTACGTTTCAAGCATCTGCATAACTTTGTTTTGTTTTACAGGTCTTGTAGAAGTGATTTCCTTATTTCATTCAAAAAAACGTTTGCAATTGTTAAAAGCTTAATTTTCAAGCTATTCTCAGTTTTCCCATTACAGTTGGCATTTCCAACTAGAAAAAAGTTACTGAAAAGAAGAGAATAGTTTTAAAGTCCATCAAAGCAATTAAATAAGTCTCACCTGTAGGAAGAAAAATCAAAACTGATGGAGTTAATAGGTCACAAAGTCCATATAAACTTGATGTTGTTTAGTTTGGAACCGTTGTAGTGCTTAAACAGATCTCCTGAACCAACTTATAAAATGAACACAACTTTTCGTAAATCTGGAAATATAAAATATATAACGTCGCAGTTTTCTGAAAAAATGTCATCCAATTCTGTCCAGCCGGTTGACCAGCTAATATATATATACACACAAATATAAATACAAATTTAAGCGAAGAGCTTTATTATATAGATTATTGACGTGAATATTTTGTAAAGGCAAAAGACACTAAACTGAAATAAACTTAAACATAAGATAAGAATGTTCATATTCATAATATTATCAAAACTGTACACTGCTGAATATTCATAGATATATACATTAATAGATGTAGCAGACAATTTCTATAGATATAACATAGATCAATAAATAAACAGATATAGCAGAACAGTTCCAGAGAAAACATAAATCAATGAATGAACAGATGTAATAGAACAGTTCAAGAGAAAAATAGATTAACAAATAAACAGAAGTAACAGAATAATTCTATTGATACCATATGATCAATAAATAAACAGATATATCAGAGCAAGTCTAAAAAAAATATAGATAAATAAATAAACAGAGTAAAACTATTCTAAAATAAACGTTTAAAATTACAACCAGATGTACAGGGGGAACCAAAAAATAGTGGAATATGACGACGACAATTTGACTTAAGTTATGATTTTAAATAAACCGGAAAACGTAAACACTGCAATTGTGCAATTTACATTTTATTAATTTACAAACCATCTGGTAAAACCAAAGACTTAGCTAATTAAAGATAGCGCAACAGAAAATCTACGCAAATTTGACGCATTTTCTGGGTGAGCCATCGATTGTAACAAATGTCGTGTTCTCTAATAATCCAGTACTTTTCACGTTGTTGATGTTTCATAATGACGTCTTTTGTTTTGGATTTAAGAGTTATTGAAAAACAAAACAAAAAAAATCCATTCCATAGAACTTCAGAAAAAATATTTGACGACAACTGAAAATTTTCAATGACACTTATTGGCTATTTTTGATACAAAAGAGATGCGTAAATTTATCACAAATTCAGCATCCTCATATATTCAACAAATGAATAAATAAATTTTAAAATACAAATTAATATCATTAATTTTAATTAACTTTTAGCACAACTCATTCACAATTGTGTTAAATATCTAATGTTTTAATGTCGATCGCTAGACTCTCAAGAAACCAAAATAACCAATGACGTAAAAATACAGCTGTACAGGCGTACACAATAGTCGGATAAAGGAATTGAGTTTTTGCCACAAACTAAAATCTTCTGATTCCAATAGCTTTGCAACCTTATGGATTTTGACAGATATTAACATGTGACCCATGTTATTGCATCCATTAGTTATTGAGCATTTCCGATTTTTTTAAACACCGACGCGCCGTTTGACTGTTATCCACCTTTCCCTTTGCATAACAAAGTTGTGTGGCATAATTTTTTTACAACTATGATGCAAAAAAGTGAAGAAGTTTAGCGTTCTAATGTAAGCCGTTTTTATGTTATTTATAAACAAACAGAGGGGTGGGGGGTGGAAAACACCCCCCACGCAGCGCATTATAGTGTTAAACAGAATAAATTTTTACAGATTAAAGTAAAATCTTTAAAAAAAAACCCTATCAGGTGAAAAATTTACAGATTTACAGATTGTGGACTACGACATTTAAAAGATTCACTTCTTTTTTATATTAGATGATGTTTGTGATTCATTTTCAGAAAAAAGTTAGAAGTTTTTGGGTTTTCTCAGTCGTGTAAAAGATTTTTAAATGTTAATTACGACAAACAAGCCCTTTCCCCTCCCACCCCCTCTCTCTCTTTTCTCTCTTCCTACTCAATTAGAACATATGTGACTGTCCCCCACATTCCTAATCCTAAATCCTTTATTCTCTAATAATGATCTATCTCGTGTCATCCCCCCCATAACATATATCANTCCTACAGAGCTACCCATATCATATTAGACTATCTCCAATCTTTAACGCCAAAATACTCACATAATACTAGAAAAATCCAGCACTTTCTGCAAAAAGAAAATTGTAGTAGTACAGTGAAACCCTTAATAATGAATACATCGGAAGAATTTATCAAATGTCGTCTTGACAACTTTTCAATGAGTTTTATCCTACAGAGCTACCCATATCATATTAGACTTTCTCCAATCTTTAACGCCAAAATACTCACATGATACTAGAAAAATCTAGCACTTTCTGCAAAAAGAAAATTCTATTAGCCTTATTAAACTTTTCAAAATGATTCATTCTTCTTAAATTTTCTGATTTGTCCCCCAAATCGTAATTTAGAACCATTTGCGAAAATAAATAAATATCCATGAATATGCGGACACAGTTTTAAAGAGTTCCATATAATCATTTAATTAAAAAACTAAATATCTGCAACATTCCATTATCAGAAAGTGAAGAATACGACACTTGATGAATTCTTTCGATGTATTCGTTATTAAGGGTTTCACTGTAGTATTATTTTTACTTGAAAATAAACAAAAGTACAAATTTGCTTCAATTTTCAATTACTTAGTTCTATATGTGGCAGCATTCAAGTGAAAAAATATAATAGTTATAGTTATAAATTTAATAGTTCTCCCTTATTATTTATCATCCCCCAACCCATTTTTAAATCCCCCCCCTCCCAAACTTCCCCATCCTGTATTATTTCTAATAGAAAGTGAGTTTGATTCACCAGATGCTTCGACCTATACTCAACTTTACAGGATCTACCAAAATAATAAGTTTTAAAAATTTGCACAGTTAAAAGTTTTCATGTAAATTCGTTGAATGTTGACTTGATTTCTTTTTATATTCAAGAGATAAAAAAATCTTCTGTCAGCTTTCAAGCATATTTAAAATTTTTTAATCCGTGACTGTATGTTATCACTGTATGTTTTCAAAATTTCTAATACCGATAAAACGATTAGACTAAAATTTCTGTTAAAATGATTTTTTGTTCTTTTGTTTTTAATTGTTGGACACCCTGTATGGGTCTGGTTCTATATTACACAATAACGTAACTCCATTTCATTCATTAATTAAAACCTTGACCAGCAATCTCGGAATTAATAGTGAAACTGAGTTTTGGTGCATTGCAGAGATATTGTAGGTGGTGCTAGGAAATATTGGAGGTGGTGCTATGATATATTGGAGGTGCTTCTAGGANTTTAGAGGTCGGGTGTAGGACCTCATTAAAGTTGAAGGAGGTAAAATTTGTTGAAATGTCAATCTATGCACACTCAAACATTAAATAAATGTAAAATCATTAAAATCAAAAGTCTAGATTAGTTTTTATATAAAAAATGTTTTTTACATAGTATATATTTATATTAATATTTATTACACACTTCACATACATTAACCCGAACTCAGAAATTACTCAATCAAAATGTGAGGCAAATCGGTCAAGGTGTCCATGATTTATAATAGGACAAGCTAACACACGAATCGAAATACAAAGATTACTACTTTATATGAATAGACAAGTTACATCTTCTCATATCAAAGGTTTAACAAAATATATATATTCGGAAACCATGAAAGGTTGCAACTGCTCCTATTTACACGCTTTAAAGCTTTAATGATTAAATGAAAGAAGTTAAAGTTAAATTAGCACCTTGTTTAATTTTCGCTATAAATAATAAAACGTGGTTTATCAAGTCAGGGACAACCATGACTTACAAATCTTTTTATTCCTTTTGTTGCAGAATTTCTTAATTCACTTAATTAAACAGGGATTAGTTAGAGAATTAGTCAACAATAATACCGTTTTTTTTAATCATTAAAATATTACAAGAACTGTATCGATAGCGTTTCCTTTCAACTGTTTCAAGTATCAGTATTAGTTTATAGAATTATTGAAAATGTGTCAATTTATAAAGTGACTTCAAAATATCAGAAATTTGGTCGGTTGTTCAATTCTGCAAAATTGATTGAATTTAAGATATCAAACATACATTTTATTGAGTTTATATTAGAATCCCTGAAATATATCTAGGTTCTTAAAAATGCAATTTTGTTTGATTCGTTTATAAATATTTTTACACAATTTTCTAAAGATAGAGAGGAAGAGAGATACTAGAGAGAAAGATATATTTCCTAATTTTGATTTCCTAATTTATGAAACTATTTCCTATTTTTGATTTCCTAATTTATGAAACTATTTCCTATTTTTGATTTCCTAATTTATGAAACGATTTCCTATTTTTGATTTCCTAATTTATGAAACGATTTCCTATTTTTGATTTCCTAATTTATGAAACGATATCCTATTTTTGATTTCCTAATTTATGAAACGATTTCCTATTTTTGATTTCCTCATTTATGAAACGATTTCCTATTTTTGATTTCCTAATTTATGAAACAATTTCCTAATTCATGAAACGATTTCCTGTTTTTGATTTCCTAATTTATGAAACGATTTCCTATTTTTGATTTCCTAATTTATGAAACTATTTCATATTTTTGATTTCCTTATTCATGAAACGATTTCCTATTTTTGATTTCCTAATTTATGAAACGATTTCCTTTTTTTTATTTGCTAATTTATGAAACGATTTCCTATTTTTAATTTCCTAATTTATGAAACAATTTCCTATTTTTGATTTCCTAATTCATGAAACGATTTCCTATTTTTGATTTCCTAATTTATGAAACGATTCACGAATTTTAAAAAGGTTCATCAGCATGCCAAATGCCCAGCCTTCAATTTGGCATATAGCTATTTGATTGGACATCATAAATTTTTAATACTAATTTTGCAGTTAACACCTACTCCATAACAAGGTGCGAAATGTATCTATCCAGGTACAGTCCGTACGCTAGCAAACTCCACCAGGACTGAATCCTGAATGCCACACAGGGACACAAGAGAAAGACTGGTTAAAAAGAGTAAAATGGGTTAAAGAGAAGGAAGGATTAAAAAGTGTAGAAACCAAAGAGAATAGAATATAAATTAGAGTGGAATTTAGACAATCCCTCGGTATGAATTTTGTCAGTCCCTTTCAGCCTGAAAGGGAGTTCAAAGTGTACAAATCATGTAAATGTTCACAAATTATATGCAGTAGAGTACATTAATACAGTATGTTCCCTAGACTATCCATTTCAATTTCGAATTTTTTAAAGCTGCTAAATAAACTCTATAAAATGAATTAGGTGAATAAAAAATCATTTGATTTATAGTTATAGCGGAAAATCATCGTTTGCAAAGTGAAAGGCATATGGTCTATGCGAAATGATCATTGGTCAATTATGAAACCAGCCTATTTCATAATTTTGTTTTCTTTTAATATTAATTTTAGACTTCCTATAAAATGATGTTCCAGGGCCCAAATGGTTAAATAGCGTAAATATGTGAAGTACACCTGCAGTATGGAAACAGTACAACAAAATGGCCGTTTTACACTTTTTTTTAGTAAATTCCACTCTAATATATATTCTATTCGCTTTGGTAGAAACCTAACCCGGATTCTTTTTAATCAGTCCTTCTCTTCAAACCTAACCCATTCTACCATTTGTAATCAGTCCTTCTCTTTAAGCTCAACCCATGGTATTTCTAATCTTCTAAAAGCCTTCTCTTTAAACTCAACCCATTCACTTGTGTTTCTCTTAACTCACTTTTCTCCTTTCAATCCGTCCTTCCTTTTCTTTATAATCCGTCCTTCCTTTTCTTTATAATCCGTCCATATCTTTTTAAACATTTCTGGTCTTTTTTCTGATATTTGTCCTTCTCTTTGCACTTCATCCATCCTTATATATTTTAAATCCGTCCTTTTCTTGAAACTCAACTAATCTATTTCTCTTTAATCTGTCCTTTTCATTATAACTCAATCCATCCTATTTAAATCATTTAAAGCTGTTCTTCGCTTCTCTTTTAAATCTTCCTTTTCTAACCGTTGTTATCTAAACTTAAACCATTAATCTCTTTTCAATCCGCCCTTCATCTCATTAAACTCTAGTATCCTGCAGTATCCAAAAACATGTATCCTGTATCCAGTTTATGTTCAGCATCCTGTATCCAGCATCCAGCATTCTTTATCCAGGACCCTGTATAGTGCATACTTCTTAATCACAGATTGTTAATAAATTCTGTGTTCATTTATTTGTCAATACGAGTTTTTTTATTGTAGAGGTTTAATGTTATTTTTTTGTAAAAATGCAAATTTAAATTAATTTAGGATAGCTAGCTCTTGCTCAAATTTTCGGATTACGGAAGATGCGCTGTGCTGTTATTTTAAGATAGTGATTCAAATCGAACAGACAGAAATGAAATATCGGATAGTGTTATCGGATAACGTTTCTGATCTAGGTAAAAGAACACGCAGATACTTATAATATTGGATAATACAAGGCGCAGTCTATAGACATAGGCCATTCACCATCCTAGTATCTCTGCAAATGAAAGCAATTTTTGTAAAGAACATATTCAAATGGTGTTCCAAAAAATTTTTGAAGTTAAATGACAATTTGCTAGTTAAATGGTTACAAATTTGTTTTTATTATATATTTATGTCATTATATCCTTTTTACTATTGACTCTTTTTTTACTCACCCTATCTATATATAAATTTGGCTTGTCTGTCTGTTTGTTTGTCTGTTTGTTTGTTTGTTTGTATCCAATAATACGTCAAAACGGCTGAACCGATCGGGCCCAAATTTTTTGTGGGACATCTAGGGACCCCAGGGAAGGTTTATGAAAAATCAAAATTTCAAATATTTGTCTCTATCAAAATTCGATCGTCATTAAATTTTAAAAAATTTTGAAAATCCGCGAAATTTTTTGTAAAAATCCACGAATTATTTTTGTTTTGTTTTACGATGTACACAAAGAGAACATGTTCACAACTAATTTAGAAGATGGGCGCGAAGCGCCCTAAAAGCCTAGAAAGAAGGGCGCGAGGCGCCCTGAATTTCTAGTATATATATAAATATATATGTATATTGTCCATGCAATAAACTAATGATAAACCAGAAGTTTACTTTTCTCCTCAATTACGCCAAGGTTAGAAACTGCTATGGGCAGAAGGAGAGATGAGAGGGGGAGGGCAGTCGGGGGGGGATTAACAACTCAGGGCATTTTCTGAAACCTCAATCCATACTTAATATAGACACATAATCATAATCAAACCCAACCGTCCATCGATATATTTAAATATGTTATTCACTCTACTACCTTTAGACATATACAACGCTAAACTTTATAAATCTATTTGTTAGGAAAAGAAAACTCGAATTTTTTTTCTCGTAAAAGTTAAGAAGTTTTAAAGTACGATAATGTCAAAAATTATAATACTTTATAGAATCCATAAACATTTACAGTTTTGGAGGGAAGCGGGAAGTTGTTTCTGCCTAATTTTAGATGCATTTGAAAATTCACAGGCAACGCCGGGTACTTTATAATATAATACACTTTATAATAATAGTTTATAACATAACACAAACAGATCTGCTAATTATTCATTAATTTTAAAGACATGGCCAACGTGTTGATTATACCTTTCTTTCTAGATCAATTTTTCGTGTAGTGCTAGTTTCTAGCTTAGGTTTAGTAGAAGTAATTGAGAAAATCCTAATTTTTGCAAGAGCCACGCACAACTGGGGTACATTTAAATATCCGAGCAGGGCCAACCTTTGCGGTCCTAGTTTGGACTGTACCGCAAATTTACAATTACTAAAGCGGCAGACCTGTGTGAGAGTGCGTGCACATTTTGGTTCAAAGTGAGCAGAAGGTCTTTAGTTTTAAATAGTTATATCAATATGCGGAAAATGTCTCTTCATAAAAAGAACAAATAAAAGTGTCGATAAGCGCATACTGGCATTATTTAAGAATTCTTAAATTATTTCAAATCTAATCAGCTCCTATTTTAATCTAATCAGCTTCTTTTTAAAATCTAATCAGCTCCTTTTTTAATCTAATCAGCGCCTTTTTAAAATCTAATAAGCTTCTTTTTTAATCTAATAAGCTTCTTTTTTAATTTAATCAGCTCCTTTTAATTCAATCAGCTCCTTTTTAATTTAATCAGCTCCTTTCCTAAATCTAATCAGCTTCTTTTTAAAATCTAACCAGCTCCTTTTTATCTAACCAGCTCTTTTTTATCTAACCAGCTCCTTTTTTAATCTAATCAGCTTCTTTTTTAATCTAATCAGTTCCTTTTAAAGAAAGAGGTTGAACTAATAGAACAAATGAACAAAATTTCCACTTTATTTTGTCTGGAAAATATAAAGCCTGAAATGTGAATATAACCTTGAAATCTATCCAAACCTTCCAGATTCATTATCAAGATTGATGGACTAGTTAATACATAATCCTTCTCTCCACTTTCATGATAAATGAATTCATGACTGTGTTGTGAAACACCTTGATGATACACAACTACCGATTAAACTGACAAGAAGGAAAAGAGAGATAAATGAAGAAAAAAAATAGAAATTGTTTAAAGAAAAATTAATGCTTTTTGAAATATCAGTCCTTCTCCTTCCAATATAACGGAATTGAGTCTTTGCCACAAACTTAGATTTTTTAATTTATATATCTTTACAACCCAATATTGTGGACCATATTTCAAACTATGAATTTTATTGGATCAAATAATCCAAGTTTGAAATATCAAAGGTTAACACTTTAGGTTAAAGATATAGGGTTTAGAAAATTTGAGTTGGAGGCGAAGACTTTTAATTAATTTTCAACTTTTTTAAATAATCATTATTCACAAAACGTTAATAGACGTACTACAACTTGCAAGCTAAATACAACAAAAATTAAAATTACAAATGGTTTAATATATAAGTATATTTCATGAAAGATATTGCACAAATTTCCTTGTTTTTGGCGACAACCAACTATAGGAAGGATAAAGATGCCAGGGTGGATACAGTTTAAGTTTATAATTATGCTCAGTAAGTTTATGCAAAGATTTTTTCAGTTTAAAAACTTTTGATAATCTTGTTGTTTTAGACATTTTATTACACTGTTAACCATACCATAAACTAAAGTACAATTTGAATTGTTAATATTTTCAACATTCTACATTCTTTTATAAATGATATTCATATTTAAAAACCATACATATATATCTGTGCTATGTTGAAAACTGTAGAGGAAATGATGATATGATTAAAAGTTTTAACAATTTTTAAAATGTTGCATGCTGTTGCAAAAAAGTTCCTGAAATTTTTTTTCACAGCGGTTTATACATTACATCTTTAAGTTAAGCTAAACAGTTACCTATAGCCAAATTAAAATTTTTATTTACATAATATGTTTTTATCACCGGTAAGAGGGGGGGGGGGGGTAAGGCAACTATTTGGAGTACAAAATCTAAGGCATATCTTGGACCCATTTTTACATGTTATCCATTAAACACATTTTCATTTATAATTTTAAAATTGTTAATTAATAGACTAGAGTTTTTAAATTTAAACATTTTGATTTTATAACTTTGACAACAATTCTTTAAAAAGAAAAACGCTGGTTCCAAAACCATCAGACGATGAAGCAAGAAATAAATTTAAATCAGCCAATTATCGAAATTTTTCATTTTGCCAGTCTCATGTATTTTGGTACTCATTGTTTTTACTTTTGACAGCAATAAAATCTCAACTGTTTTCATATTCAGTTGAAGATACAGATTTATTATCACAACTGTCTCCTACATCTAGAATAGTTTCACAACTGTCATTTCTTAACAGATCGGTAACAACAGTTGATTTTTTTTTGACATCGATTGTTTGTTTACTAGACAAGTTCGGGGTTGGGTTGTTGTAGTTTGTTGGTGATGGTAGTTCAGCTTTCACTGCTAGTTTCAGTACTTCCACCCACCTAGATATATCAAACTTAAAGGGACTGTAAGCATAATTTCAAGTGACCCTTCATCCAAGGAATGCCCGATTTACAACTGTACCTTTGAAACCTTAATCTCATAGGAAGATACCGTCGTTTGTCTGACTCTAAAAGGGATTATTTCTGTGAGATTCTTCATTGCTTATTATATACAAGAAATGCGCAAGTCACGTTCGTAGAAAACCGGAAAAAAAATAAACAGTTTAAATAATGCAAAGCCATTGATATCTAATTCATACTTGATCAAATAAATTCTTTCAATATTACCGTTGTAAATCGGGCATTTTCATTTTATTACTGAGGGTCACTTAAAATTACGCTTACAATCCTTTAAAGAGAATTTCCACCTAATTTTAAATTAATCTCTTCTTAGAGAATGTCATTTAATGAATTACAAGAATGAAGAAAATAGCGGAGTCGGACCCGTAAAATTACCGATTTTCCGGATAAATTTCAAAATAAGTTTAGTGAATCGTGATATTCTTTACATAGGAGTAGGAATCACTTAGAATTGGGTTGACAATCTCGTTCAAGGAACTGTATAGCAATATCCAATAGAAGAACAACATTAATGAAATAAAAAACTTAAAAGTAGGCGGTCCTTAATTCTCATTGTTTATAAGAAATTGTTCTAAAACCTGTTAAACATGGTTAATTATTCTAATTAGTGATGGAAACGTCTTGATTTTCAAAACATGAAAGAAAATTATTTCTCCTGAAGCGCAGATTTAAACATGAAATATACAGATCCGACCAATTAGAATTTAGCAATCTGTGTATGCAGGTGTTTCATGGGTCATAAAGTACATGACGAAAAATATATTTCTAAGTTTCATGGAGAAGTAAAATTTTTTTTTATACTTTTAACGAAGCAGTTAGAGTGAAACTAAGATTTCGTTATATTCAACTACAAAATGAAGATGCACTAAACACATCAATTTTCCAGTGATTTAACCGAATGAATTATTATCAATTTCATCCCGTAACCATATTACTTTATTCTAAATAATCTATTTATTCCTATACTTTCCCAATATACTGTACACATAAAAATAAATACATGCATTAGATTATTGCCATCACCCACGATATTTAAAAAAAAACAAGAATCTAAAATTAACCTGCAGTTAGAATTCTTTCAATTTACCATTTCTGATATGAAAATTCTTAATTTAACAATCCTTACCTAGACATTCCGTTGATTTAACAAACATTGACTTTAAAATCCTTGATTTATCAATCCTTGACATTACAATCCTTGATTTATAAATCCTTGACATTACAATCATTGATATTACCTGCGAACGTCTGAAGTATTATTTCCTGCAAAATAATACACCCTGTTACTTGAAGGATGATAAAGTTTGATCACCCTGTCCCTGTCTTTCTCAGGGGCGTACCCGTCCCCCCTCAAATCTGCCCCCCACCCGACACTGAAGCCGGGTAGTGGTGTGGCAGTTAGGGCGGAGCTGTCCTGCTCCCCTCTGTATGAGTAGAGGACAAAGTCTGGGAGGAGGACGAAGAATCGTTTACTAGAGGAGGAGGATTTAATTCCAGGACTACGTAGAACCAACCAGCCTGCGTAGATACTAGGAGAGTTGGCCGGAACCTATAGGAATATACAATATAACATCCCCAACACCATGGTTCACATAGAGAGTATTAAAAAGCACATTTTTTAATATTTGTTTCATCTTTGCTTTTTAATAAACTCATAATTTGTAAATTTCAAATATCTACATTTTGCACAACTTTTCTACAATGTTTTTTATAATTTTATAGTTTAGCGCAACTATTAAACGATTATTTTGATACAGGGTTATTTAAAAAGATGAGACTCAAATGATATTTCGACCTTTCTACATAGCAAGAGATCACAGTAAAATTCATTCCTTAGCATAATATACATTTTTTGTATAACCAGGCAATACAAAGATTATCTTATGAACATGTCCTCGCATTCTAATTTTATAATAAACATATCTTTTTTAAAAATTTTGTTTGTTTTAAATTTCTTAATCTTTGACAAATAAATATGTGCAAATTGTAGATACATTACATTACATTACATACATTACATTTACATATGTATAGTTTTAAGGTACAAAATGTAAAATTTAGTCTTTTTTTGGACCCTTTAGGGTTTTAATTTGATATCCAGCGATCAACTAAACTAAAACAGTTTTGTAACATGATAAAAGGTTGACCCCTTCTTTTGATAAGAAAAAATTATACATTAGTCTTATTTTAAAAATTGTGTATTTCCACCTCACATTACGTTGAGGGGTTTAAGAAGAAATTCATAATTTTAAAAAAAGTTTGTAACTCTTTTTAAAACATAGTTAAGCGTATTTTTAAAAAAATATTACAAAAAAAAACATGCAAAACTTGTGCAAAAATGTTCAGGATGCAAAAAAAAAATAAAAAAGTACTCACACAGAGAAACACTAAAACGTTTTTATCCAACACTGTGGCGTTTGTGAAGTTTAACACTGCGCCTCTCTGCCACGTAGCGCTAAAATTCTGGGATTACTCGAAGAAAGCAAAAACATAAAAAAAGGGAAATCAGATTTGTTTTCTGTTAAACTAATGGAAAACAAAATTGAGAAAAGAATATTCTGGAAAAAAACAACTAAAAAATTACTAATAATTAAAAGCGTTTTAAAATTCTACAAGTTATTCTAATCTAATTGTGTTAGTTCTAAGGTTAATTTGTTAGTATTAGTTCGTGCATAAAGGGAGGAGTGAATGGATAAAACTAAACTTGTTTCCTTTTTACTTATAAATTTTAATTGTGCTAAACAACATTGAACAAAAACAAAACAAAATTATTTTTAAAAAATGAATAAATGAATGCCTACCTCTAGCAGTCCTCTAGGACGACTCGGAGGACCAGGGTTTAATTGATTACTAAGAAGAACGTGACAAGATGTACAAATTCGTCCTTTCCGTCCCTCCTCCCAGGACAGTGGGTATCTATAGTCTGTACATTTACTACAGAAAACCTAAATTAAAAAAATTAGTTTTAACAAATCATTTGGATTGGATTTATTGCAGCACCAAAAAAGTACAAAGTCTGGAACATCAAACAAGTTTTCTAAAACATTAAAACGAGAAGCATCAAGTTTACATCAACATTGCTACAATAAAAATATAAAAAACAACACCAATTGCTACATCCACAATACGATATATCAACAAGACGAAAAAAACACAACAACAATAACGAAATCAGTATTAGCAACAATAACAACAAGTGCAACGATTACTATTAGGGAATACTGACCGCTCCACATGTTTTGCAGTTGTGTTTGTGCTTGAGAATACCAAACTGTGCGCTGCACTCTGCGCACTTGAGCGCAGTTTCAAGTTTCTGAAGGTGGGGCTTCCTCTTCCCTAGTTCACAATCAAGAGGGCGGAGCACTTCACGACCAACTCGTAGGGAGGACTTCCTACAGTAGATGAGTTGATCAAAATTGAAAAAAAAAGATAATAAAGAAGTAACAATAAAACTGCGCAAAGATTGTCGTCTCCGTTCTTTCTTTAAGATGAAAGATTTTACTTTAGATCTTAAAACCTTCTTAATGTTATATTACAACTGATACATTTCTGAAAATAATATCAAGGAAATAAAGCTGAATAAAGAAAACAATAGTTATTCCGCTGTTTTCTAGTAACCACTGAATTAATAACAACATTTACAATTAAGATTAAAAATGGTAATATGAACGAATTAATTACTATTTTTAAAACGTACCTTGTATATAAACTTTTGATTGCAAAGTACAAAGCCTAAAAAATCATCAAAAACATTAAAAACTTTTAAATGTTCAGATAAGAATCATATATAAATGGTAAATTCGTATAGAATGAAACAATTAAGTCGCCATAAGGAAAGAAGCAAATTGTGAAAATCGTTTACCGCGTTCAGTTCTTGTAAAATAGTATTTTGCTCAAAGAATTCATTTTACTGGCTTTTATTATCATCTCACACCGGTGGGTTTAGTTTTCTACAGAGCGTCCCATATCATATTATAGATTATCAAAAATTTTTAACGCCAAAATACGCACATAATACGTTAAAAATCTAGCATTTTGCCAACAAAATTTTCTATTAGCCTTATTAAATTTTTTAAAATGATTCATTCTTCTTAAATTTTCTGATTTTTCCCCCAAATCGTAATTTAGACCCATTGACGCGGTCTAATTTGATGATGTATCTGAATCCAACTCGTTAGTTTCAAAATATCTTTTCAAATAACTAAACAATCCCTTAGAGACAATTTTAATGTTATTGTTTCCTGAATCCATTCGTCCTTCTCCTCTCTAGTTGTAGTATACAGTTCAACAGATTTAGTCTCATCCCGGAGATAGAACGTATTTGCGGTTACAAGATTATCCCCTTCAGATACCTATACAATGAGAGGAGTGAATTTGTGTTTAAATGGGACTGTTCACTGGTCGGGGGGTGAATTTGTGTTCCAATGGGACTGTTCACTGGTCGGGGGGTGAATTTGTGTTCCAATGGGACTGTTCACTGGTCGGCGTGAGTTCAATGGCTTCAGACCTTTATCTGAGTAAAAACAAGTTAGATATTTTTCTTCTCTATCTAGTCAAATTTATAAATTCTGTCAATTTCCTTCCAAGTCTCTGCTGAATAAACCCTTAAGTAACTTTAATAAGAGAAATTGCCATTAAAATCAACAAATTTTAGACAGATTTGTTGGTTGAAACATAGGTTTAAAAGGAAAAACCATTGTAAATTAAGCATGAAATAACGTCCATATTTCATTAAAGAGGGTAAAGGAAAAACCTAATCAAATTATAGTTCTATTTACAATATTTTCACTTTAATGGACTTAGGTAAAAAAAGGCTTGTAGAAACAATTTTCATGCAGGCCTAAAAATGCCATATTTTTAAAAGGCTCAAAAAATTAAATGGTTAAATAATTGAAAAAGTACTTGAATAATTTATTTTATCTAAAATCAAAGTTTTTCTAATCAATTATTTCATTACAAGATTCAGATTATAATTTTAAAAAGCTTGTTTTTCCCCTGTCATTATTTTTGCAAATTTCGGCAAATTAAAATAACAATCTTGAAATATCTGTTAAAATCCTTTAAAGTCATTGCATTGCAGACATTGGATTGAAATATACATAAAGAAATTGCAAGTCTTTGTCACAAAATCAAATTGTCTTATCCCTATGTCATTGAAATCTGATGGTGTAAACCTTTGATATTTCAAACTTATTTAATCCAACAGAATATTATAATATCAGAGTTTGTTGCTAAGACTCAATTTCTTTTATCTTTTTTATATTGATACTTTTCAGAAATTCAGAAATTCTGAGATATCTTACGTCTGATGTCTGTCTAAAAACCGACTTCTCAGCAACAGCAGTAGTCGAAAAAAAATGCAAAACCCTGAAAAAGGGTAAAAATGTCAACAAACCTGTAAATTTTCCACCATAAACTTTGCTCTGACTCCGTACTGGGATCCAGAAATCATAGACTTCCGGTTAGAGCAGAGGAGTAGCAGGTCGGTCAACTGGATAATCAATTAATCAATCAATAATCAATTAATAATCAATTAATTAATTAATCGACTGATTAACTAGAAATCACAATTATCAAAGAAAATTATTATTATTTATAACAGATAACCCATTATTCAAGGAAATTTGGGGGGACGTCGACAATTAGAATAATAGTGCAGAATAGGCCTTGTCAGGTTATTAGATATGTATACAGAGCTATCCGCAAAAGTTGAGACTTTAAAAAACTGTCAGCGTAATTTTAAGTGACCTTCCATACCAAGAAGTCGAAGGGTTAAAGGGTACTGTTGTGAATCTGAACTGGACTTACACTTACAGTCCCTTTAATGACAACTTACAGTCCCTTTAATGACAACTTACAGTCCCTTTAATGACAACTTACAGTCCCTTTAATGACAACTTACAGTCCCTTTAATGACAACTTACAGTCCCTTTAATGACAACTTACAGTCCCTTTAATGACAACTTAAAATTCTTGAAATACAAACATATTAGAAGATTGAATTTGGGATTATGTCTTAATTCAGGCCTACTATAATGCATATTGGTCATATCGACCAGCGAGCCTAAATATTGGCATAAACGTACTATTTCGACTACGCTAGTATCTAAGCCTCTATGCAACAAATCTAAATATCTATGCAACAATTGGACCAGCGTGTGATATATTCAATAACAGTGCAAAATAAGCTCGAACTTCTCTAGAAAATCATAAATGCAAAAAGACTGAATACATTCTGCCAAGTCATTATATGAAGTCTAATCCTTGTGAGTATAAAACACGTAATCAAACTTCAACATATTTCAAATAAAGGTTTTGATTTTATTTTTCCATACTTTGATAACTGTTAAAACTTTTAGAATAAATGTAAACTAACCAGGAAAAGATATCTTTCTTGGTGATCTCCGGTTCTAGCAGAGATCTTGACGATCCTTCCCTCCCTAATGAGTTCTCTGGTTGGAGAAACCAGATCTATACTTCCTCCAGTACTCTCCTGGACCTCCAGCAGCTTCTTAAACTGTTCAATACGCTTCATCGAGTCGTTAGCATGTGCAGCAGCCTGGGATACCTGCCTCAACGCACCTAGGATAGATAGTAATAATAATAATAAATTATAATAATTATAATACCACAGAAATAATGATAATGATAATAATAATAACAATAATAATACCCTCTGCGTCTGCTCTATCTGGAGAGTTGAACGGCAAGTTGTTTAAATAATCCGCTAGGAGGAGTTGGTATCGTGGTATCCGTTGTACAGGGGAAAGCATGTGATGTTGCAAACTTAGGTTTTCACATTCTTCCATGGCCTAAATTTTATGGATTGACAAATATTTTATCAATCTTCTGATATTGAAAGAACTTCATAACTGCATAAAAGAAATATATTATTTGTGTCTTTAAAAAAATCTTACATGAATATCATCCATGAGCGCGGCAAACTTAGAGTTCTTGTTGTACAGGTGGTTGATGGTGCGCATGGATGTATCAAAGCTCCTGACGTACTCCGTGTACATGATGAGGAAGGGGGAGTATTTGATCATGATGTCTCCAATCCTCTGGTACTCGGGGGAGCTAGGCCACAGTTCCATCCTCTCTTTTAACTAAAAAAATAAAGATTAAAAATGAGAAAATTGTAAATTTGGTAAAAAGTTTGAACCGGAGGCAATTTTGTTCAAAGAGAAACTTTAGCAAAATTGAATAAATTACAGTGACAATTGCTCAAATTTTCAACAAAAGGCTTTTTTAAAGCTTTTTTATTTTTATGCATTGAGTTACGTTAAATGTTGAATTTTGTGTTCGAAATTGAGATTAAAATGATACAATTTTGTATTTTTAAGAACAAAGTAAAGGTTTTAAATAAAATTTTCTACATTTCATATACAAAAATAAGTGAATACAATTCTTTCTCTAGATCGGTGACAAGTTATCAAATATACTAAATGGAACACCTTCCACCCCGGACTAACCAGAGTGAGCAGCATTCGGCTCCTTCTATTTGAAATCAAACGTGATTTGTTTTATAATTCAACAATCTTTTACTTTACGGATTTGTTTATTTCATACATTTTCAATCAAAATGCATATGCCGACAAAAAAGTTTAAAAGAAAAAATGCTTACAAATTATGTTTAATGGATCAAATTGTGATCGAAAGTCACAGCTTTCTGGAATATTGACAGAACCGTTAAATCTACGTGTTACGGATAGTTTAGAGTGGGAGCAATAAAACAGTGGAAAGCAAGATGACTTTTAAATCAAATTATCTAAAGCACATGAAAAACAGAAACTGTTCTATTTGCTTAAATGGCGTAAATGATATACTACACTTCAGTGTATAATCGCCTACCACCGTAGGATATCTTTTAGTTATGTTATATTGTATATATACCTGTGGTAGCAGGAACTCGGCATGGAACTTGTAAATAGATTTTATATTAGAAAATATTGCAGGGATAGTTTCACCAGGAAACAGGTTAGAACTCCTGTTCTCCTGATCAACACGGAAATGGAAAACCTAAAAATGTTAACTGTCAAAATAGAAATTTATTAAACATTTGTTGTCAAAGAATTGATCTCGAATCTCGATGCGTTGTTTTCAAATACATAAACATTAACTTTGAAGCGCTAGTTTTAGAATTTAAATCATGAAACTTTCAAATCAAGAAACCCTCAAAACTATGAAAGTGAGACGCAGCAGAATATTTTTAAAGAATTTGCAAAAATTTATAACTTTTCACATTTTCTAGGTTACTTCCCATACATGATAAAATTTAGTCCAAATACGCCTTTTCTTCTTAATTAATCTAGATAATATCTCGACTTAGCTAATTTGTTTTCTATAAAATAGCTAGTTAGATATGAACATCGCTTTCCAAAAAATAGTTAGCTAGATATGGACATCGTTTTCTATAAAATAGTTAGTCAGATATGGATCCATCGTTGTTCGTTAGTTTTTTAGCATTAAAAAGACTTTTCAAGAATCTAAGATATTTCAGATTTCAAAATTGTATACTCTATATGTTTGTGTTTTGAACAATCTAGGGCAAAACCCCAAACAGTTAAGTTGTTATAATAAATCGTTTTGGTCAATATCTTTTATCAGAGTAACTATTAGACTTGTAACAAAGAAACGGATAAAGCGCATTGAAATGTGAAACCTCTCAGATTCTTACAGTGGAGCTTCTTAAAACAGAAAAATCTTATAAAAATGAAAGAATAGGAAAACATTGCTCATCTCTACTAGCAGTCTAACTACAGTTAATTTTCCTCCATCATTCGGCACATCAGTTACAACTGTATTTATGGTCTGATTATTATAAATATTATATGTGCCTTTCATTTTATCCGCATTAATTTTGAGCAACCCATTTAAACTCCTTTAAACTCCTATAACCTCATTTAAACTCCTTTCAACTCCTTTAAATTCCTTTAAACTCCTTTGAACTCCTTTACACTCCTTTAAACTTCTTTAAACTCATTTAAACCCTTTTAAACTCCTTTAAACCCTTTTAATCTCCTTTAAACTTCTTTAAACTCCTTTAAACTCCTTTTAACTCCTTTTAACTCCTTTAAATTCCTTTAAACTCCTTTGAACTCCTTAAAACTCCTTTAAACTCCTTTAAACCCCCTTTAAACCATTTTAAACCCTTTTAAACTCTATTAAACTTCTTTAAACTCATTTAGCACTTCAGCTAAGATAAAATGACACCTATCGCGGGTAACAATCATTGGATAATTTGGATAATTTTGATAAGAATTCCCCCTCCCCCCAATTTAATTTCAGAATTTATGCAAACAGATTCCCGATTTATGATTCAGGTCTTGGATCAAATAGTTTAGAACTTTTGAAGCCTAAGAGAATAGATGTGTAAAGTGGAGTTGAAGTTAAAATTAAGTTAAAGTTTAAAACTAGAGCTTAAACTAAGTTGTAGGGGGGTTATACAATACAGGCTCACTCACAAATATTGGGATTTCAGAGACGACTGCACAATGTACATACATAATTAAGTTCACTCCTTATTTTCTTAAATTCATAATTCCGCGTAGCTTTTCGCTTGTATCTTTCAAAGTCTTTGCCTTACTATCATCTAAGACTTAATTCAAGCTATATGACCAAATTCAATCTTCAAAACAATGTTTAATGCGCATATAAGGTACTTTGTAATTTATTTAAGTCTAATCCTTATTGGGTAAAACTTAATATTAGGTGAAAATGTACAGTCTAGGGTTATTATGTCCAAAAATTGAAAAAAATAACTATCTCGTTTTTTACATAGATTAAGTTTCTAGTTAATTCACAAGATTCTCTGAAAGATTTTTAACAAAAATAAATACCTGATCAATTAAATGAAGGTTAGCAACGTAACGTATTTCCGTTGAAAGGAGTTCCTTGGCAATATTATAAACTTTAGCTTTCTTCTTCTCAATATCCTCGGAGCTAGGTTCAGAACATCTCTTCGCTTCTCCGGAACCAGACACGGACGATCTATCACACGGGTTTTCGTCCGACCCTTGGGAAACCCCGGTCAGGACGGATACATCACTTAGCTCAGACGGAACGGCACTGGAATAAATTAAACTATGAGACTAAATGAAAGATTTTTTAGAATTTAAGTTTAGCGACAGAAAAAATCAAACAACTATACGGAACTTTACTTTTCATGATTTTTAAGGCAAAGGAATTGAGTCTTTTCCACAAACTCTGGTTTTTAAATCCCTATATCTTAACAACCCAATGTTGTAGACCTTAGATAATTCAAACTATGACTTCTGTTATATCAAACAATCAAAGTTTGAAATATCTAAGGTTTACGTAGTTTGGTTGTAGATATATAGGTAGTTGAAAATTGGGATTTGTTGCAAAAACTCAATTCCTTTAAATAAATTTTTGAATACCCATCCCGAAGACATACTTTGGGATTGCTCTAGTAATAAAAAACAATTAATGAAGAAAAGAAATGAGGGAGCAAAGAAAAAACGGGATTAAAATTGAGGGAACATTTTTTTCTTTTAGTTGGTTCAATTTTCCTAATGGGTCGTGAGGGTTTAGTTCGAGTTCGCGAATCCTCTGTCTCCGATATACCGGAGTCCTGGGATACGGTGGAGTGGGAGTGGATTGAAGACTCTCCGGAGTGTGTTGAGGAGTCCTCTGATTGCGTAGAACCTGTTCCAGATAATCTGTCCCGGGTCCGCGCCACAACACTCACACTGTCCAGATCATCCTCAGATTCAGTTTCTGAACTCGGGAACTCGACACCGCCATCATTCACATACCTGAAAAACGTAAATAAATTAATAAAAACATAGAAATATACGATTTAAAATATTTAAACATATAGATAAACAAAATATGAATAAATAGATAGATGGAAAACATAATTTTGTACAGCTACTTTACAACAGAGTTGAGGGAATTTTACTTTATCAAGGGTTTCCAAGACCAATTTTGTTTACAAACCATCCAAAGCGCAGCGAAAGATGTTTTGTAAACAAAATAATTATTTTTTGGCACCATTTCTTGGGAAGAGAGCGCAGTTTTTGGTGGTCCAAACTTTTGTGCAAATATTTGCCAATTTATAAACAATAATCTGCAAAAGTTAATATAAATATATATGAATAATTTGCAAGGAAACTTTAGATTGCTAAACAATGCCATTTCCGAGACCAATATCTTGCAATACAATTTGCAGATCCATGAATACAAATTCATAAAATGTGGAAGCTCTTTAAAATTCGCATTTTCTAACCCACCTACCTTTGCAACATGATGGTGTATTTTTGTCTTTTTATTTCAAACTTAGATTATTTGATCTAACAGAATTTACAGTTTGAAATATCTAAAATCTACGACATAGGGTTGCAAAAATATCAGAGATTAAAATCCTTTGTTAGATCTATCAACACTATTTTCATAGATATATAGATATAATTTTCAGGTATAATTTTCAGAAATAATTAGAAATATTTTATTTTTTACTATTTCTTTTGATACTAAATAATAATAAGACTTACCCTTTTCAAGTTAAAATTGTTGTTTAAAATCTAGGATAATGATGCTACAAGGGTCGGACGAAAACCTCCCTCGAGGTTGAGGTTGATGTTTCTAGGTTCGAGGTTAAAGTTGATCCAGGATTCGGATTCGGATGGCCATTAAACCTCCAGATATACGAGGACAGAATAACACAAAATAAACTCAAGAAAATCATCTATTTAATGGTTTCGATGTGTTTTACCCCCCCCCCCCTTTGTGAATCTAATCAAACTGATTTATAGAATTACAATAAATCTGGATAGTTTGAATATTTACAAGAAACCATAAAATAAATAATCTGCCTGACAATTAGAAGATTAATCCAAATATTTTCAACAATTTCTAAACGTTTAAAATTCAAATACTGCAGTTCTTTGAAAAAATAGCCTGAGGCCGAATTTAAAGAATTTGAGCTAAAATTTAAGCCGCGGCTCAAATATCGTATTCATTAAAATCGTATTCGTTGCTTCAAGATTTAAGCTCAATTGAAACCGGTTTTTGGCGGATTTAAGACGCGGCTCAAATTCATTAAATTCGGACACTGATGTTGTAAACTTAGAATATTCGCTAATATAAACTGGTTTAATTGTGTTTAGGATTTATCAATGTTTATTTATTCAGTGTTTTGTCCAAATAAAGTTACTTATAAAGGGAGTGTTTCCCTAAACCAAACTTATTCACAAGGAGAGCGTTTCCCTGATGATATAAAGGGCGCGTTTCTCTACACAAAACTTATTTATAAAGAAAGGGTTTCCCTAACCCAAACTCGTTTATAAAGGAAGCGCTTTCTTAAACTAAACTTATTCATAAAGGAGCGTTTCCCTAAACCATACTTATTCGTCAAAACATAATAAAAATTTAGTGTTCACAAAATAACTAAATTCACTATATAATAAAACAAGAAATTCATTTATATGTTGAGTATAGCCGGCCAAACGGCTGGACCGATTGGGCTGAATTTTTTGTGGACACTCATGGAAGGCCGGGCAGTGTTAAAGGCAAAACAAAATCCGAAATTTTTTTATCTTAATTTTTTCTTCAAAATTTTTTTTCCGCGGTCAATGCCGGGCCCTCCAGCTAGTTAAGTAATAAAAGGGCAATATTTCCATAATTTTAAACCTTTTTAATTTAAAAACTTGCAGAATTTCTGTTTTTCTTTAAAATGTCTTTTTATTAAGAGCCTTGTCTCTTGGTCTAATTTTATAAAACCTGCAATGCGATTTACTTAGTAATATTCTGCTACAACTGCCATTCCCTTTAATCGCAACATTTATTAATATTTTCCCATTTTTTCTCTTAATTTACTTCCTATCCTATCATTCTAAGCAAGTGGGGGTTTCATAAAACCCCCCTTTTCTAAAAAACCTTATTATTTTATAAAAAAAGAAACTGCTGCGGTATTTCTATATTTTCCTAGGATCATGATGTTAGTGGGAAGCAAACCTAGAACTGCAATATAAAGCCTTATCTTTTAATACAATACAACTCTCATTCTTTATCTCTAATTTAAAGGGACACTCGAACCAACATCAAATAAAGGAATTATCCACCAATTTGAAAAAGCTTCTTCCTATGAATAAGAATAGTAAAACAGATCAGAGGTGTTTGTTATAAGATCATCTGCAGACAGTGCAACACGCATAAACTTTTAATCTCTTCAAAACGCTCTCAGCATGTTTCTCACTTCATTCGTCGAATACAGTCATTACTTTCTTTAATAGTTTCTTAATTATTTATTCTGTACCTCACCAGAGGTAAACTTGCATCCTTTAGATAAAATGTTTAAACTGTTGTTATTGTTTTCAGTACATGTCGCTTAGTGCTTTCCAAACCAAAAGTTTTATCATCCGGGTTCTTAACATATTAAGCACTTGTACACATTTATTTTTTACGCAAGATATATTTACACAATGTTTTAATTTTTTTTCATTGATTTATACCCAAGGATATAAAAGCGATAAGAAATGGAGAATGAGGCTTGTATTTTCATCTACCCATGGTACCCACTCTGTACGCCTAATTGTAACATATTTACAAACAAAACTGTAAACATTTTAGAAAATATTGTTTATGATGAAATATATTTACTTTGTGGGTATAACCTGCCAACCGGAATGTAAATACAGTGTTTGTCGTATATATTCATTTCAGTGAAGACGACTTTCGAATTAAATTTTGATGTGTACCAAGTTTTTAAACAAAATGGATACACATCAACATAAACAAAATGGATACGCATCAACATAAACAAAATGGATACGCATCAACATAAACAAAATGGATACACATCAACATAAACAGCTTTTATCTTTCTTGTAAACTTGTAATTTGAAAAAAGCTTGTTAGAAATCAAAACTTTAATATAAAAGTCGTCTTCTTTATATTGATTTAATCGCCTTTTGGGGTAGGGTGGGCTAGTGTGTGACACCAGTTCTCGTTATATCACTGAAGTTAAACACGCTTGTCCACAGCCAGTAACTGGATTGGTGCCCAGACAAGTGTTCACGGGTTCGATTCCCGTACTCCACACAAACCTGTGGTTTCAAAAACATCTAAAGCCGACATCTGGTTAAGCAGTTATGACCACCTGACGGATGTATGAGGACAGAGAGGGGGGAGGGGTGTCAACATCTCTCGCAGCGAAAGGGTGCGTGCTTTCTACTCAACAAGAAAGAAGTTCATAGTGGATTGATCTAAGTGAATGATGATGGATGAATGTGCTGCCAGATTACAACCCCTGGTAGATAAATAAAAACCCAAACAACACCGAATCTTCGCAATAGAAAAAAATCCGAGATTTGATCGTAACAACCCGATCACGTCCTGGGGACAAAAAAATCTCTTATTAAGATATAATCGCCTACCGCTGTCTATAATGTGTAGGCACATAAATACTTTTTCCTTCTCTAATTGACAAATTGTGATTAACAAAAGAGTTATAAGAAATTTTAAGTGATAATTTTTATTTGAAAATTTGATTTATTTCCAAAGATATTTTAGCAGAGAAAATGTATTTATCTCTGCGAATATATTTAAATGAATGGCTGTTTACTTGTAGGTTGAATCAGTGGGTTTAAAATCAACAAACATGAGTTTCACAATTGCAATTCTTTTTATAAAATAAGGTTGTTTTTACAACTCATCTGATCAAGCAACTGCTTGAAAATTAGCTGCCTAAAGAATCTCAAAACACCACACGGGGGTTTCCACAATTAACAGTAAATGGCATGTTTTGCTCTAAGGAATTGAGTCTTTGCCACAACCTCTGATTTCTAAGCCCTATAATTTCAAACTATAAATTCTGTTAAATCAAATATTCTAAGATGTGAATCATCAGATTGCAAAGATATATAAATTTGAAAAACAGAGTTTGGCAAAGACTCAGTTCCGTTAGACAGTTGAAAGAAGTTTTTTGTATGCAAATTTTTTTGGTCTCATGAACATTTTTTAGAATACTCTGCATCTATTGGATTTTAAGTTTACATAATAAAAATCATCCTCTTACAGAATAAACTTCTTCATTGTAAATACAGTATTCAGTCTTTTGTTTGGAGAAGACTATTTTTAACAGAAATACTAAATCATTTCCCGCCATTTTTGTGCCAAATTTATCCAAACCAAACCAGGCCGCCATCTTGGCTCTTGGATCTGACAGCTGTTTCCGGTCTTATGTTTGAGCATGCGTGTTCAATTGGAGAATGAGTGCATGAAAAGAATATTGGATCAGGGCTTATAAACCTGACAGACTAAACTTAACAAGGAATAATTTAAAAAATACGTCTGAAAGGGACTGTCAACATAATTTTTAGTTGCACTCCAATCAAGACATTAGGACATTAGTTCAAAAATGCGAAATGACCGGCACGACTTTATGATCTCGTAGCTCTTTGATTCTTAATGATTGCCATAATAGGAGATAAACAAATTTATATGGTTGCATTGCATAAATATTAGGGATTTAACAAATTTTGTTGCAATAACAGGTTTTAAAATTCTAGGTCATCATTTGTCTTGCTTTTATACACATATATTTAACTAGGTTGTTTTGTCAAATCTAGTTTTAGTATTTGTTAAGAGACAATTTGTCCATTTGAAGTGAAGCATGTTGTGTTTAGAGTGCATACTTGAGGAAACTTTACTTCAACAACTAAAAACAAAATGTTTTTATGAAACATGAAACATTTCTTTTACCTTCGCTCATACATATATATGTTAGCTATAGCTTCCTAAATGGCTGGAGCAAATTGGCTGACATTTTTCATAGGGAAACCCATGGTTACTCTGTGGGTAACATAGGCTAAAAAAATCATTTTTTTTAGTGTTATTAAAATTCGCTTAGTAGATGATAATAGTATTTAAACTGTGTTAATGTCAGCATCATACTAATGTATATTTTACACGCTGATCTGTTTATTATTAGTTCCAGGAAATCCTTTCAAGTTTTAACAAAGAAAAGATAAAAAACTATGTTCATGATCAGATGTGTCTCAAATTATTGCTATTAAAGTTTATTTGAAACCAAAAACTTAATAGTTTACACTTATGTTAAAAAAATAGTGAATAGTCAATTTTTGAAAACTTTCACAAGATTTGATAAAATCATGAAATATTGCTATTTCTTATCTAGTAATTGAAAAATAATCTCTCCTCTCCTTATTTAACCATCACAAAAGTTAAATAAGTATTTGAATATTATTAGAATATAATAAAAAAAGAATATTTGAATTTTTGGGAAAAAATTCCAGGAAGTTTACAAACTGGTACATGGCTTAGCATTCGCATATTTTATTCGAAATCAATATATTTTTGAAAGTTAAGAAAATGTCCTAACATTCTTTTAAATCCTTGGATGCAATTTTAGAATCATCTTGAATTCTTGTAAATATGTTTTTGCAAAGTTTTCCCTCTGAAATATAGATTTTACCGAGAATCAATAAGATGAAATTATTTACGACTTAAAACTGGTGTTTTAGCTTTCTAAAATGAAAAATGAACTTTTTATTTTATTTCCCTCAGTGCCAGTTGACTACAATTCTTTTCCCAAAACTTTTTTTCAAGGAAAGTCTTTCATATGCTTTCTCAAATGTGAAAAGAGGAGGGGTGAGGTGCAGGTTTGTTAAATATTGAACAATATCCTTATTTCCCTCCCCTAGCTCAGATTCCCCCCCCCACCGCCCCTCATGCATAATTACAAATTAAGCGTCTTCATTATGCATCTATTGCAGTATTTCGGCCTGAAATATGTGTTTATCTACATATCTAGATATTCAAGAATTTCAAGGTTATTTTTAGTATTTAAATGATCTACGAATTCAGATAAAGAAATATGTATTTCTTAATTTTATCAAGCATCTTAATATTCCTTTAAGTCTACTAAAATTCACTTTAAAGCCTGATATCTTATATATGACATAATGGCGATACAAAAAATACGTTGTTTTGATTTTTTGGAAATCTAGGAAAAATGAATTTTTTTTTATTTTGCAGTGCAGTAAAGTCATCTATACCAAATCATACTAATATCTGAGAGCAAAATTCATGTTTATTATTCCCTCCCCCCCCCACCACCCCGTAAATAAATCGAATCATGTGTATCAGTAAAATTATCTAAATGATGAAACACGAACTAGATATAAAAGATATACTGAAATCTCAATCAGATTTGGAAAGTGGGATGAATTTAACGTCGATCAAACCTCTCATTTTAAATTTCTCCCTCTGAAAACTCCTTGGTGTAACCTTGTAGCAAATGATAAGGTTAATTAATATATACGGCACGGTCTGTTAAAACAGAACATTCGGATTTACTGTTCTTCATGGATTTCTTACAAATATTTTCGCAGATTTCAGCTTTTTCATCTGTGAAATGTTTTTAACAGATGTTGTTTAGAAAATTTATACACATTATGTAAATAATTTAATGGGCTAACAGTTTAATAGACCATGATTACGCTAGGTTGGAAATTGCTAAATTTTAAATGCAAAATAAAACCTTTTTAAATTCAATTTTCAGGAATTTTATCACACCTAATATTTCCCATTGTAGGGTGATCGGGTGACTTTATCGCCCTACAATAGGGCGAAAAAAGTCACTTTTTTACCCTGCTATTCAAATTTCAAATGTTATAACTAATTTTTCCCGTTTATCACCCTACAACAGGGTAATAAAGTAACTTTATCGATCTGCTATTATAAATAACTATATATGTTTTTGTAATGCGTATTGCGTGCGAAAACGTTTTTGAATTGATTTTTACTTTTACATAGTTTGTTTTCGATCAAAATAAAAATATCATTTTAATCTTAAGCAAGCTAGAAAAAAAAATTCCCTCAAAAACTTTTTCGCTCTTAAAAATACCCATTACAACGACATAAATAAATACTATAAGCCTTTTCGTTTTACTAATTTACCCCCCCCCCCCCCTTGTTGTGCAAGTATTTTTCCGTGAACATTTGCTGACATTCTTAAATGTTTATAACTTGTTTCAGGTCATAACAAATATTATTTGCTTGTAAGTTGTGGATCAACATTTAACAGTTTAATCAAAGAATAATTTCATGATTTTTGAGTTTGAAAACATGTTTCGTCAATATTTTTGCACTTTGATTATAAACAAAAAAAATGTGTCCGTCATTTTTATAATAAATCATTTAACATTTCCTTGCATTGTTGCACGCATTGCTTTAAGGCATATTATCATGCGATTAATTTCGAAGACGTGGTGTGTGTGTGGGGGGGGGTTGCAAAAAGTGTAAACCTGCAAATTCTAATGAAATAATAAGTGTCAACATAAACATGTTTTTGCAAACACACTTCCTGGCTAATCTGTCTAAAAAGCTTGTCTTGGCAAACAGTTCAAGAGTGAAAGTTCAAATCCTTCTTTCAACTCAACTCTTGTTTTTATATACAAGGAGTAAAAAGCTGGAAACAAGATTCTAATTGGCGTAAATAAATACAGCTTAGAAATTCAAGCCGGGAACTTGGAAAAAATCTGGTAAATTATAATGGCGTAGACATCTCTGAAAGAAAGAAAAGCGATGAAAATCTGTGTTAATAACTAGCTAGGTCGAACTAGTAAGTTGAACAAGTACAGTAAGTTAAACTAATTTAGTTTAACCTCTGAATAGCTTCAACCAATTGTTCAGCAAAGTTCAAACCATTATTTTCAACTCTGTTAAAGGGACTGTAAAGGAAAAATGAAAGGGGGTATAGGCTGAAAGCTAATCACTTTAGCTCTTGATCGCGACCCATGAAAGTTTTATCTGATGTTCCTGTCTCGAGAAATTGATTTAAAACTGTGTTGCAATTATACGAAAGTTCATAATGTAAAATTTAGAAAATCTTAAACTTAAATCACGTGACCAGAACTATCACCAATGGCACAGCAGTATACTGATCACGTGTCTCCCGCCTTTATCACGTGACCACTTTACTGCACTGCCATTGGTGGAACTTCTGGTCAAGTAATACGGGAGTATAAATAATATTATGAATTAAATCTATTAAATATAGAAATAACAAATATAAAATTAGAATTGGAGTAAACCTAAGTTACAATTAGCTTTCTCTGGGATATCATCGTTTTCAGATTGGTTGCATATTTGCTGAATTTGATCTATTTAAACCCTCTACTTTTATACAAAATTGTATATATATTTATTTTCGTATAAATTTGACACAGTTGTATATCAATTTCTCGAGATAGGAACATCAGATATAACTTTCATGGGTCGCGATCGAGAGCTAAAGCGATTAGCTTTCAGCCTATACCCCCTTTCATTTTTCCTTTACAGTCCCTTTAACTTAAGAGAGCATAAAATCTGTGTGAGATGTCCGTAAAATGTTGTGGGGTTTTTTAATTTATTCAAAAAACGCCTTAAACGGTTTAAAATGGTGTCTCATAATAAAACATTATGACTTTTTAAAAAGTGTACCATTCATCGTGGTTAGTTTTTCTTTCGTTGAAAATCCGTTAATTGTATTATTTTCTCCTTTTTTTGTATCGCATTGGAGAAAAACAAAGATGTTTTTTTTTCATAAACTATACGAAGAAAAAACATTACCTAAACGAGTTTTTAGGTGGATCCGAGGTGGATTTGGACTTTTGAAGTCGCTTCTTTTCTCTAAGTCCTTGTCTTCTTGTATGAGGAGATAGGTTTAAACTGTCCCCCGGAAGTAAGGGGCCAAAACTCGGGAATTTCCCAAAATTTTGAAATCCGAAAAAGGATTCTCGGATTCCGTTCCGGAACGCTGAAATATCATCACCAAACTTTCCGAACCCGAAGTTTGAGGCAAACCTGGCGTGCTCAAGGCTAGACCTGGAGTCCAGTTTTAGGTCGGAGAATAGGGATGGGACGGAGCTAAGGATCGGAGAAAGATCAGGATGGAGAAGAGTGGTTTTCTCAACCCCTCCTTGTTGAACAGAGTCCAATCTAGGTAACATCGGTTCATTTATAAATTGTATCGGAATAACTCGTTCCTTTCTGGAACTACGAAATTCCTCCTGTAAGCCTTCACAATTTTTATCACTTTTATCACATTTCTCTCTCTCCTGGTTCTGATACTGACTAGAGTGTTCAGAATCTGTGTCCTGTAAACGGTTGGCAGTAGTCTCCTGTAGAAGAGGGTTGGTTCCAGTCTCTTGTATAGGGTTGGTTCTGCTCTGCTCCGGGTTGTATCTGGACCGTAAATCTATCAGCTGTGAGGCCGGGTTTGTACTGGGAAGGAAAGCTGTCTGTTTAAGTAATAAACCTCCGGTGAGACGCCTCATTCTCTCCTCTCTCTCTCGGATAAACTGGGAGAAAACATCGTTATTCTTTAGGTTTCCTTGTTCAAGCAAACTTCTCTGATGAGCTAGATACATCTCCCTAGAACCCAACCTATTATCGGAGCTAGAAAGGGGTTTGTGATTAAACCCGTTCTCAATCCTAGGGTGGGGCCCTGGATCAGCCTCTCCACACCTACCGTTCATATCGGTTAGTTTTAATCTCCTCTTCTCCTTAATCTCGGCTGAGGTTAGAGTCTCCTCTGAGTTAAACTCCCTGTTCTCCTGGCTACCTGGAGTAAGGTTGGAATAGGTTGTAAATCCAACCAACTCCACTCGCCCTGGTTTCTCACTGGTTTTTAACTTTTCTCCGTTAGCGGAGTAGGTGATGGGTTTAGGCTCTCTTGTTCTCGGAGCGGACCTGCTCCGTCTCCGGAGTTTACTGAGAAACCTATCTTTAGTCCTTGCATTGAGTCCTCGCGGAGGTTGGGGGGAGCAGGGAGTATATCTGAGAAGGGTTATACCCCCCTCCCCTCCTCCATCCCAGATATCCATTCTCAACCTAGAAATATAGAACATAGATCAATTCATTGTATAACATACCACACATAACAAATACTATCAAGACATGAATTCAACTAATTAGCATGCTAGAACAAATGTGCTTGCCCCCCCTCCCCTCCCCCTCCTGGCAGGTGTAAGGGTGTATGTACACGAAGAACTAAAGGGGAATATAAATTCTCCGTACCAGACTGTTTACTTGTAAGAACAATTCCGAACACGGATGCACAATACGTCCTGCCAAAGCCGGAAATTTAGGAGAATATCGATAATCGAAACCAGAAGATAACCAAGTTAACCTATTGAGCCATGAGCTGATTTTTACTTCAGACTTAAATTAAAAATGATAATTTTATATCAAAAATGTTATAAAAAGCTTTTTGCTTAGAACTTCTTAATGAACACTTTATTATTCGATTTTCTGTATGTTCTGTCTTAAGTTTCCGGCTCTCCATCAGAATATTAAAGTTCCATACCAGTAAAGGTACACATTTTCTCGCTTCTCCCCATTTTATTCCCAATCTTAACACATTTTCTCGCTTCTCCCCATTTTATTCCCAATCTTAACACATTTTCTCGCTTCTCCCCATTTTATTCCCAATCTTAACACATTTTCTTGCTTCTCCCCATTTTTTTCTTTTTAATTATTCACTTTAATTTTTAACTTCTCTCTGGTTTCCTTTTTAGTTCTTTTCCTTATTTTTTTCTTCTAAATGTTTGTTTCTCCTTTCTTCTATTTGATTTTACCCTTTCTTCTTCCCCATCATCTCTTTCTATACCATGTCTTACTCTTTTATGTGAAGCGCATGAAAATCAATCATATTTTAATACTTTAAAACAAACCCTCCCCTTCCCCGCCAAGCATGTCCTCGCACTAATAATGTCTTCGTGAATCTTGAAGGAAAAGGAAGTCTCACAAAACTCATCATTAAGGCAAGCTTTAATGTAATAATTAATAATAGTGCATGGGAATAAATTCGATAAAGAACCATCATGAAGGAAGAAAAAAGGAAGAATGAACTAATGAAGATGGATATAAGAAGAAGAAAAAGGATAAAGAATGGAAATGAAAAAAGATGAAGAAAAGAAACAGGAAGAGAGAGGGGGGAAGGGCTAAACAAATGTTTCGGAGATACGGGGGAGGGGGGAAGTTAGTATGGGTTGTTTTTGTGATTTAAACACCAGCTGCGAGGCTTGCATAAAATATATCTCTAGGGCTTTATGTTTATGAATACGTAGGATATGTTACAACTATCCCAACTATAGCTTTACTGGTTACCAACACTATCTTGTATGTTCCCAACTATAGTTTTACTGGTTACCAACATAATATTGTATGTTCCCAACTATAGTTTTACTGGTTACCAACATTATCTTGTATGTTCCCCACTATAGCGTTGCTGGTTACCAACATTATCTTGTATGTTCCCAACTATAGCTTTACTGGTTACCAACATTATCTTGTATGTTCTCAACTATAGCTTTACTGGTTACCAACATTATCTTGTATGTTCCCAACTTTAGCTTCACTTGTTACTAACATTATCTTGTATGTTCCCAACTTTAGCTTCACTTGCT